TCTTGGTTTCTCTACCTATGCAATAGAAAGAATCGTTCATCCCACCACATTTGATTAGGTACCAAAAGTATTCTTGTTCATAGGTAGCTCATGCTCTCTGTTGTTCTTGAAGCTACAGTAGAGTATAGGGATTGGCAGATTCCCCTCGAGGTGAATATCACAAAGTTACTTTAACTCAGGAGCTTGTGCGAAATTTGCCAGGAACTTCAAGGTCTCGTGATTATTTTTTTTCATGTTATTCATTTTAAAAATGCTCATAGTCATACTATCAGTTTGTAATGTTATCTCCTGATAGCTACATAGCAACTGCCTGAAGGTCAAGATCTCTACAGAATAGGATAACAATTTTACCATATGCCAAAGAGAAAGAGAAGCAGCAGACAAGAGGTGGTGGGAGTCAGTACTGTGTGTTCCATCCTCAGCCACACAAGCGGCTAACAAGAAAACTGTTGTCCAAAGCCTCAAAACCCTGAGAAAATAGCTGCTGGCTGAGCTGTGAAGAGGGATGGGGAAGGATACATAGTTTACCGTGCCTGGTCATAAAGAAGCTTGGTTTACAAACTCACTTGTGGCTGTTGTTCAATTGCTTTCAATCCTGTTTGACTCTTTGTGACCCCATTTGGGGTTTTCTTGGCAAAGACTGAAGTGGTTTGCCATTTTCCTTCTTCAGTTCATTTTACAGATGAGAAAACTGAGGCAAACAAGGTTAGGTGACGTGCCCAGGGTCACACAGCTAATAAGTGTCTGAGGCTGGATTTGAACTCAGGAAGATGAGTCATCCTGATTCTAGGTCCAGCACTCTATCCACTGCACCATCTGGCTGCCCCTATCTCTATCTTGTGTTTGTGCGTTGCCGCAAATGGGACATCAGTTGGCAATAGTAAGTTACTATGTTTCTAGTGCTAGTTCAAATAGCAGATACCTGTGAGCTTTTTTTTTTAACCTGATACCACAGGTAGCATTATTCTCTCCCCTTCCCTCCACTGATAACATAAGGCTAATATAAAAGGACACTGCCCCTGGCTTTTTCCATTGTATAAATCAGAGATGGCCAACTTTCATTCTGCATATAACTCTTAGGAGCATTCATGTGAAGCAAGTGAAGCAAGCATGAAGAGGAATTTTGTTGATGCTGTGACTGAGTCATCCTACAGTCTGTGAAACATAGGAAGCCATGTGATATGATGGAATGAAAACTGGTTCAGAAATCAGAAACCAGAAAAGATCTCCCTGGATCCCTTCAAAGGCCAATCTAAAATGTGGCCCAGACCTGAACCAGGAATGGACTGAAGAATATAGCCCTGTCCTAGGTCATTCTTGATCCTGATGGTACTCTACGGCCAAAGAGGTTTTAGGGTCCATTCCATGACAGATTCAGGCATATACTTCAGTCTCAAAAGACATTTTCAGCCCATCCTGATCCCTGAATTAGTCCCAAAACAAACTCCATTTCTCAGGCTAAAAAAAAAAAAAAAAAAAAAAAGGAGAAACATACAATAGGACATAGTAGAAATAAAGGTGGATTTGTAACCAAAAGATCTCAGTTCTGGTCCTGGCTCTGGTCTTTGGTTGGACAAGTCATTGTATCTCTCTGGTTTTCTCATCTCTAAAATAAGGGCCTTAGACTAAATGACCTCAAAGATCCTTTCCAGTTCTGCAATCCTGTGATTCTTTTGTAACCTATGTGGGGTGACATGCTGTGCACTTGTTAATAACCATACCAACCCTCACCCCTCCCAAATTGCTATTTGCTTATTTCCTTATTAATTTTCAAACTGGGTTCTAAGGCAATCAAAGGGTTTTTTTTAAAATTTCTTCATAAAGTAACAGAAATGTGCAGTCTTTTCCTCACTAATTGATTAGCTCTGAATGCTGACCATAGTTAATAAAAACCAGAGAAACCTCTTTGCCCACAAACTTTCATTCTTCTTTCAGCATCAAATTCTGGTCTGGTAGGATTAAACAAACATCAGTGTTGATATTAACGGTGTAACAAATAATGCAGACTTATTTAAATATTTCACAACATATCAGTTGTGAGAAAAATCACAGCCAATGTCACCCATTTCTAACTGCAGGCTATACAAACTGACTCCTACACAAACACAGAACCCACAGTTCTAGTATTTGACTCTCAAAGGACATTTTCTTTCAAATATCTTCTCTGCAGAATGAGTTAAAAACTAAGTTCTCTCAAAATGTTTCTTCACATTCTTTCCGCTGACAAGCTAACCCAGTCTCTTAGTTAAGAAAAAAGTTCTTAGTCCTTCTTATCTTTGCCTCACAGAGTCTCTGTCCAGTCATGGCATTTAACTCTTTCCAGATGACACTTAGATGGACATTCTCTAGGTGTCAAGATTCTGTATCCTCTTAAGGATAGAGTAGCCTCTGTGTGAAGAGTTACTGAAACTGGGGAAACACTGTGAAAAGAACCAAAACTAGAAGGAAGGAAGGTAGAAGTGGGGCTATTTCAAATGACAGGCACAATAACCCTGTGTGTCACAGGGGGAGGGGCATTTTGGGGAACTAGGTAAAGGGGACAACAATGCAAGTGTTTGAGAAATATAGTTGTTCAAGGCTAATATGTAAGTGCTTTTTTTTTTAATCCCTTTTCAATGGGAGGGGGAGGAGCTGACAGGAGGGAGAGAATTTGGAACTCAAATTTTTAATAAATGAATGCTAAAACATTTTTACATGTAATTGGGGTAATATTTAATGGAATAAATAAAAAAATTTAAAAAAATAATTGTTATAGCCAAGAGCAATATTTCCAAGCAGAAGCTCAGGGGTATTTCCTTCCCACCGGTTGTTTAGGGTTCTTAGCCTATCTACAACTTTTCTCTGAAAGGGAAGTATTTAATCCCTCAGTAGACCACAGTAAAAGAAGGGCTGGCTCAGTTAGAGAGAGACCTTCATACCCTTCCGATTTCAGTTTATGGGCACAGACTCTCCTCCCTTACCTCTGTTCTGCCTGAGAAAATGAGATTTATACTGAGAGGTGTGGTAGGTGGAAGAACTGGGAACTGCAGAATGACTGAACTGATTCCTAGGAGATTCCAAAGCCAGGGGCCCAGGCCAGGGGGAAGAAACACACAGAAAAGACTAACTCTCTAGAGATGATGGGGCTAAAGTTGAGGAAATGAGACATGACCACTGAAACAGACCAGGACAGCACTGCCCAGTGGCCAAATGCTCCAATCTTTAAAATGTATTTACAAATCCAATACGCTCATCTATGGCTCCAAGAAGCTGTAGCATGCACAACAGCCATACCCTGTAAAACTATCTTGGCAGACAGGGTAAACTAGGTTGAGGGTGACTGACAGGCCTCCAACCCCATTGATGAGTTAGGGGATATTTACCCCAAGCATGTGAAGACTTCCGAGGTGGAATGGGCAGATGAGAACAATTTGTTCCAAAGGCTAGGAAGGCGACTGAAGCAGGTACCATGGAGCGCCTAGAGCTTGGTCAGACATCCAAGACGCCAAGGTCATCCACCGCATCTTCGGCCATCGCCAGTCAGTTTGACTTTTGTTCTGCCACTGGAAGACAAAGCAAGGCTGACAACTTTGCATGACTCTGCCCCACTTAAATCCAATTCAAGTGAAAGTCAAGACATCACCGTTGTATCATCGATGCCCTTTGAAAACAAAGGATGAACAACTTAAAGGATCTTTGCTTTCATCAGGATGGTACCCCCTCCACTGACTCAAAATGCAACCCTTCCTTCCACACCCCTATTATAATAGGCTTTGTCCTTATCACGACCAAAGAATATTCATTGCCTGGTGGCCAACCTTTTGGTGATAAGCCTTTCTGTATTTAACTCAACTAGACCTCAGATTAAGGCAGAATTGCCTATTGCTAAGTTTACATCTGAAGCCTTTTCAGTTCAGTAGATATCGTTAGAGTTTGCACTTGGCTTTTGAGAACTCAAAGTCATCTCCAGCTAGATGGCACAGTGGAGAGAATACCAAACCTGAAGTCAGGAAGAACTGAGTTCAAATCCTGCCTCAGACTAGCTATGTGACACTGGGCAAGTTATTTAACCTCAGTTTGCCTCAGTTTCCTCATCTGTAAAATGGAAATAATAACAGCACCTTCATCCCACAGTTGTTATGAGGATAAAATGGGATAATTGTAAAGTACTTAGCATAGGGCGTGGCACATAATAAGTGCTATATAAGTGTTAGCTAGTGTTATTATTCTGAGCGAGTCAGCTAGATGTTTCAATGGATAGAGCATGGGGCCTGGAGTTAGGAAGACTTCAGTTCAAATCCAGCCTCAGACACTTACTAGCTGTGTAACTCTGGTCACATTTCTATTTGCCTTAATCCACTGGAGAAGGAAATGGCAAATCACTCCATTATCTTTGACAAGAAAACCCTATGGACAGTATGGTTCACAGGGTCATGAAGAATCAGAGACAACTGAATTATTATTATTATTCACTAGAGGAAGACCTTAGTGGAAAAATAAAAATAGCTCAATTATATAAAGATTTTTGTTGTTGTTGTTCAGTCATAGCACACCAGGCCTTTCTTTCTCTCCCAGTCTCCCAGTCTGTCCAAGTTCCTGTTTGTTGTTTCCATGATGCTATCTACCCATCTTATCCTCTGCTTTCCCCTTTTCCTTTTGCCTTCAATCTTTCCCAGCATCAGGGTTGGGAATAAAATAAAGATTTAGGGTTTATTAAATAACCTTCCTTGAGACAGACTTGTGAAATAGCTAATACCAACGTCAAAGAAGTCAGACAACTCACTAGCTGTGTGACTCTAGGCAAGTCACAACCCCAAATGCCTCACCAAAAAAAAAAAAAAGAAGTCAGACAACTTGCCCAAAGTCACAGAGTAAGTAAATAGTGGAACCAGGGTTCAAACCTAGGATTTTTTAAAATTCTAAATCCAGTGTTCTTTCCATTACACCATGCCACCTCATCCCATAGGGCCATTTTCTACATTTGAGAGGTTCTGTGCCCATTCTCTGTTTTGGCTATACAGATGCAGGAGCTGGAGCAAAAGCTCTTGGAAGCTGAGCACAGAGCAGAAAATGCAGAAACACAGGTAAGGGCTGCTGGAGGTATGAGGGGAGGAGGAAGGCGGGCAGGAGTGGCAACAGAGGACTTTGATCTCTGGCCTTCCCTGGCACTGCTTGAGGGGCTCACTTAGGTATGTATGAGATAGTAAGAAGTCTCCTTAGAGGCACAGGACAACTGAGTAGTCTAATGTTATTAGACTGTCAAGGCTCATGGCTAAGGGTGATAGGCCCTCGAGAAAAGAACTATATGCCTGGAGCATACCTTCTGTGGGAAGGGTTTTGTGGGGTCAGTGTAAGAGAGAGGGAGAACAGAGAGGATGCCTCCCTACAACCCCACTATGGCCACTGCCACGTCATTCCCCATATTACACCCCCCCACCAGATGGTTAATTAAAATAATTAATGTCAATTTCTTCAACTGTAACCTCCTTCAAGAGCAAATCTGTTTAATTAGATCTCTTCTGTGGTAGGTACTTAATAAATGACTGATTAATCAATTGATTGCCTTAGGCAAGAGCTACTGGTAGATTCCCCAAATGGGGCTCTGTGCCTGAGATACAGGCTGAGATCCCCTCCCACTCTGCCTGTCCCTCCCTCATCTGCCTCCTTCAACCATTCTTTATCCCATGAGAGGGTCACCCTTTTTCAGGTGGGTGTGATGGAGAAGAAGATCAAACTGGCCAATGTGAAGAGCATTAAGCCTGAAGACAACCTTCTCCAAAAGTACCAGGTGCTGCTGGAGACCATGCGAGGCAAAGAGGAGCTGATCAGCCAGCTGCAGGCACAGGTGGAAAAGCAGGTAAAAGGACCCAAGCCTAGAGCTGTGCACAATCTGTTGGCATGAGAGGAAGAAACATAGCTGTCTTCCTGGGCAAGTGGGTGTGACGTAGATTGTTAGGGAGCCTGGGTGAACAGAGAACAAGATCTGAGTCACTATAGAAGTAATACAACAAGTAATACAACGAAAGTAATACAAAACTGAATGCTATATTATAATTTTTCATTGATAATTGTATTTCGATATAATTGATTTTCTCAGAAGGGGTCCATCAGTTTCACCAGACTGCCTAAGTAGTCCACCACACAAAAAAGTTTTGTGTCTCCTGTCTTTGAAGGGGGGCTTTCCCCAGGGCCAAGCCTCTTAGTAATGCAGTGGGACTCGAGAGAAGTCCAGGGTGGTTTTCCAGGACTTTCAGCCATGCCTCTTTACATCAGCATCATAGCACCATACTCCTGAGGATGTCAGCTATGTGCATAGTAGAGTAGTGGAGTTGGACTCAGGGCTTGAGTTTGAATCCCGTGTCAGACTCTTATTAGCTGTGTGACTCTGGGCAAGTCACTGAACCCCTCCAAGAGGCAGCACTTTTCCTTGCCAAGGCAAACCCCTCTACATGTACAAATGATCCTATTCCATCCCATCTTCTTCTGAAGATTGCTCCTGTATCATCTTTACTCTCTCACGAATCTTCCATCTCTCCCCATTAACTGCCTGTTCCCTTGCTGGCTACAAACATGCCTATGTCTCCCCCATCCTCAAAAACACTCATTTGATCAGCCTATCCCCATGCTATTGGGGATATCAAACGTCTTCTGCCTTTCCTTCCTTTCATGGCTAAGCTGCTTGAGAAGACTGTCTATGCCTCCACTTTCCTCTCATTTTCTTAACTTTGCTTTCTCACTTCATAATTTAACTGCAACTGCTCTCTCCAAAGTTATCTCTTAATTCCCAAATCTAATGATTGCCTTTTCTTAATCTTTCTTGACTCTGAGTAGCCTGTGACAGTTTTAATCACTCTCTTCCCCTGGATACTTTCTTCTCTCTTGGTTTTCATGACACTGTTCTCTCCTGGTTCTCTTCCTACCTAACAATTCCTTTTTTGGTCTCCTTTGCTGGATCTTCATCCTGGTGGCACCTGTTAATTGTGAGTATGCCCCAAGGCTCTGTCCGAGACTCTCTTCTCCCTCTATAATATTTCACTTGGTGATATCATCATCTCCCAGAGATTCAGCTCTCATTACTGTGAAGATGGTTCACAGATTCATTTGTCTAGCCCTAACCTCTATGCTGTCCTGTCTTGTGTCTCTGACCACCTATTAGATGTCTCAAACTCAATGTCCTCTAAACTCTAAACTCAACAAGTTCAAAACTGAACTTATTATCTTTCTCTCCCTATCTTCCCCTCCTCCTGACTTCCCTATTACTGGTGAGGACCCCACCATCCTCCCAGTCCCCCAGGATCACAGCTAGGTGTTGCCTTCCGCTCCTCACTCTATCTCATCTCTCATAACCAGTCAATTGCCAATTACAGCTGATTTTTCCTTCATGGCATCTTTCATACATGCCCCCTTATTTCCTCTGACACTGTCACCACCCTGGTGCAGGTTCTCATCACCTCACACAAACCTCCTCACTCTGGTTCATCCTCCACTCAGCTACCAAAATGATCTTTCTAAAGGGTAGGTCTAAGGGCAGCTAGGTGGCATGGTGCATAGAGCACTGACCCTGGAGTCAGGAGAACCTGAGTTCAAATCTGGCCTCAGACACTAGCTGTGTGACCCTGGGCAAGTCATTTAAACTTGATTGCCTCCCCAAAAAAACGTTCGGGTCTGACCTCACCAACCCCCTACTCAATAAACTCCAGTGGCTCCTTGTTACCTACAGGATCAAATATAAAATCCTGTTTGTCTTTTAAAACCCTTCATAACTTTTAAAGTCCCTTCCTACCTTTCCACTCTTCTTACACCTTAATCCCATCCAGGTACTCTTTGATCCGATGACCCTGGCCTCTTTGCTATTTCTAGCAGAAGACATTTGATCTCCAGACTCCAGGCATTTTCACTGGCTGATTCTCATTTCTAGAATAATTTTCATCCTCATTCCCACCTCCTGATTTCTCTAGCTTCCTTCAAGTCTCAGATCAAATGCTACCTGCCTCAAATCCTACCTCCTTCCTTTCCTAGTCCTACTTAATGCTAGGGTCTTCCTTGAGATTATAACCAATTTATCCATTATGTATCATTTATACAAAATTGTTTGCATGTTGTTTCCTTGTAAATTGTAAGCCCCTCGATGGCACGGACTGTTTTTGCCTTTCTTTGTATCTCCCAGCACTAAGCACAGTGTCTGGCACATAGTAGGTACTTAATAAATGCTTGTTGATGATGAATTTCTAGATGCATGACTTCTAAGTAAGTCTTTGAAGGCAAAAGTGAAGCAATTATTTGTTATACTTCATTGAAAAAAATAATGTCATTCTCTATAAGCTCCCTTTTCTACATATCAAAACCCTTTGACGTCACCTTCCATTCTCATCTCCTTTATTCCAATCTCTGAAAAGGTTGACCCTTCTCCTCAATAGGTCTAACCTCTTTAAATGCAACCATGATCACCCCCACAACCATCTCCTCTCTCTCTCTCATCTTCAATCTCTCCCTACTAGTTCCTTCCCTCCTGCCTACGCTCAAGTCAACTCTATCCTAACAAAGATTTTAAAAATAAAAACCAAAAAACCTCACTAGAGCTACCATTCTGTCCTATCCACAAAGCTGAGTAAATATCTGTTGAAATACATCCTGGTGATCCTTTCTTTTATAATAAAGAAATTTGTTGTTCAGTCATGTTTGACTCTTCGTGACCCCTTAGACCATACCACATCAATGCTGTCCATGGGGTTTTCTTGGCAAAGATACTGGAGTGGTTTGCCATTTCCTTCTCCAGTGGTAACAAAGAAATACATCCCTACCATTCCCTTAAGCTTTTGCCCTTTATCTCTCCCTTTCTTAGCCAAATTCCTAGAAAGAGCTGTATTCTCACCTCCTTTTCCTCTCATTTCTCAACTCTTTGATGGCTAGGTTCCAACCTCATCACTCAACTGACACTGCTCTTTCAAAAGTTAATCTCTTTAATTGCCAAATCTGTCATCTCAATCTCATGCTTCTTGTCTTCTCTGTAGAATTTTATACTATTATTCTTCCTGGATACTATCTCCTCTCTGAGTTTTTGTGACATCATTTTCCCTTGGTTCTCCTAATTGTCGTGTCTCCTTTGCTGGTTCACCCCCATATAGTGACCCCTAATTGTGAGTGTACCCTAAGGCTCTATCCTAGATCCTCATCTCTTCTCATTCTATACTCAATCTCTAGATAACCTCCTCAGTTTCCATAGACCTGAGCACTAAAACAGACCACTATAGACCTGAGCACCAGATTAGACCGGTATCTACAGAGAAGTACTCTTAATCATTCTTATGAAGATTACTCTCAGATCTATATATCCTTCTCTGGTCTCTCTCCTGAGCTCCAATCTTGAATCACCAACTGCCTACTTAACATCTTAAACTGGGTATCCTGTATGCATCTCAAACTCAACATGTCCATAATGGAACCCATTCTCTCTCTCCAAACTTTACCCCTCTTCTGAACACCTCTATTTTCTGTTCTGTTTCTTGGCTTCCATGATGCCACACTGGTTTTTCTCATCTCTCTCTGACCCATATTCCTTCCATTTTTTAAATGTAAGCATTCCACAAAGAACTGTCTTTGTCCTTTACTCTTCTTTCTATACAGAACAATTTCATCTACTTCCATAGCTTCAGTGGTCACTTTTAATATTAAAGGCTGTGAAATCTATATCTCTAGTGCTAGCCTCTCTCCAGATCTTCATTTCCTATTTCTAGCTGACCACCTCTTCCTGGATATCCCGTGAAGCATACCCTGATCTCCCCAGTGGGAAGTGATATCCCCCTTCTCTGAAATCCTTTGATTTTAATGTTCTTGGGATACTTATTATATTAAAGCTATTCATGCATATATCATCTCTCCTACATAATTCTAGCTCATGCTTCCATACCTTGGTAGTGTTTCCTTCACAGAAAGCCTTTGAGGTGGCTAGTGGAAGTATCATCACCCTCATTTTACAGGGGATGAAACAGAGACCCCAGAGAAGTTAAGTGATTTGCTCAAGGTCACAAACTTAGTGCCAGAACCAGAATTCATATCCAGGTTCTCCCAACTCAACTCCTTCCACCAATACCATTCTCTCATCCCCTGTTTCTTGAGGGTAAGGAATGGTGTCTCCTTAGTACCTCCTACAATGTTAAGTAATTGAATAGAAAAGTGATGTGTTCCTAGAAAAAAAAAAGTGAGTAAACTGACCTTTTTCATCTGGAATCCCAGCTTCCTTTTATTTCAAAGATGTTTAAACTTAATTTCTGATTGATCTTCCATAGTCAGTGACTCCTAAGAGGTCAATTTAAGATTTTCCCCTTACCTTTCTGGTCAAGTAACTTGACCAGAACTATACGATAATACTTAAATGCAAAGGAAATTGCAATCTAAATGGAATCCTGCTGTAAATCCTACTATAAAATTTTAGTGTTCTCCAATACAAATCATCATGATTCAAGAGGAGGAATCTTGAATTCGATGCAAAAAATCTAAGGTCTAATTGGGACTCTGCCAGGAACAGATTGTATGACATTGGGCTCCTGCCTCTTCATTTTTAAAATGAAAGGGTTTGACTAGATGATTTCCAAGGTCAAGTCCAATTTTTAAAATCCATGATTTTATGACACCCATTTTAGTTCCATAAAAATTCCTTTATAGTGTCTTAAATCCAATTAAAATCTTTTTTGCTGCTATTTAAATCTATGTATATGGGACAAAGGGGAAAGGGAAAAACGATTTATTAAGTGCCTGCTATGTGCCAGGCATTGTACTGAACACTTTATAAATATTATTTGATCCTCACAACAACCCAGGTAGATAGATGCTATTATTATTATATCCATTTTACAGTTGAGGAAATTGAGGCAGAGAGATTAAGACTTGCCTGGGATCACACAACTAGTAAGTGTCTGAGACCAGATTGGAACTCAGATCTTCCTGACTCAAGGTCCAGCACTCTATGCTGTGTTGTGAAGTGCCACCCAGCTGCTTGGTATTTATGTAAGTAAGACAGCCAAGTACTTAGAGCAGTTATCATCTCTTAGTAGGTCTGATTTTCCCAATGGATTAATTTTTTCCAATAGGTTACCTGCCAACATCTTCCTTGGCTTCTGCTTTCAGAAGTGTTCAACGTGTCCCATTCCTTACCCTAATGGTTCCACAAGACTGGAAACTGATTCTAATCTGTGGTGATTTTCTGTTTCAGAAGCAGCTAAGAGTTCAAGATGCAAAGGCTGTTCAAGAGAAAGCTGCAAAGATCAAGGAGTGGGTGACCATGAAGTTAGGAGAGGTACAGCTATCACTTGGTCCTGGGGGATTCCTGGAGGAAGTAGAGATAGGCTCTGGGTGGTTAACCATTCACTCAATTCAGACTGTGGAATGTTTCAGTATACTTTCCTTTTCACTTTCTAATTGATTTTTCCCAAATCCCCAGACCACAGCCTCTTGTTGTTGTTTTTTTAAGATAACATTGTTATTTGGGAGAAAGGGGAGGCAAGAAAGGAGTAGTGTCCAAGGACAAGTCTCTCACTACTGGTAAAGCTTAACCACTTTTTAATGGAAAATACACTGAATTTTAGGTCAGGAGACTGACATTTGAGACCTGACTTCAGGTTCCTGCTCCAGTAACTTTCTAACTAGGTATCCTTGGATGAGTTACCTAAATTCTCTGAGCCACAGTCTCTTCATATGAAAAATGGGAATAATAATACCTAGGTAATATTAATATTAATAAATAATATTAAATGAATAATAGATAATATTATCTACCTCATAGGGTTGTCTTGAAGAGAGTGCTTTGTAAACTTTAAAGTGTTATACACTAATAAAATCTATGATCTGATTAATGTGAGTAATCCCTATAATAATGCAGGTCACAGCCCCACCAAACCCACCCATCATGTACTTGCTACTCTCATCCATGTCCTACTATAAGCCCTATAGAAATTATTATTATTATTATTATTATTATCATTAGATCTGAGCTGTGAGCTCCTTGAGAGCAGCCACTGCCTTTTGGCCTTCTTTAAGTCCCTTAGCACAGTGCCTGGCACATAGTAGGTGCTTAATATATGTTTCCTGACTGACTGTTTAGTATCTGTGATTTCATTGGCTTAAAGAACTCTTCCATAGGGAGATACTGTCTACCAGTGTTGGTGGGCAGCTGTTCTGAAGCTTACTTTTAGAGAATTTGAGGGGTAGGGGAATGAAAGATAAAGTGATTTACCCAAAATCATATGCCCAGTTTGTGTCAGAGACTAGACTTGAATCCAAGAGGATTCTGAGGATAATACTGTCTCTCTCATTTTTATTATTATTACTATTATCATTTCTTTCTTCACATCTTTTTCAGTGAGGTTCAAATGGAAATTCTTGAGACAAATTGCTATCCTAAAATTAAAATGTGTGTGTACATATATATATATACACACACACACACATATATTATGTTCTGTGGAAGAAAAGTGGGAAACAAGCATTTATTAAGTGCTTACTATGTGTCAGGCACTGTCCTAAGTGCTTTACATATATCTCATTTGATTCTCACAACAACCCTGTGGGGTAGATTCTATTGTTAATCCCCATTTTACAGATGAGGAAACTGAGGCAGAGAAGAAGTGATTTATACAAAGTAATACAGCTAGTAAGTATCTGAGACTGGATTTGAAATCAGGTCTTCCTGACTCCAGGCCCAATGCTCTATCCACTGCGCCACCTAGCTGCCTATATGGACTTCTGAAAAGGTAAATAAATTAACTGGTTCTTGTAGTTGAATAAAAATATTAGGATGTAAGCTCATTCTCTGTAGGCTCACTAAAAATATCACTGTTATAATTCCAGTAGTAGACAGGACAGCTGGAATGATATCATGCACCTCATCCTGTCCCCTGAGGATCTTGATCTCTATTTTTTTCAAAGTTTGTCATTCCATGATGCTTAGAAAGTATGCATATTTGGTAATACGGCATTTATTAAAAGTCTTCTTTTGTTTTTTGTTTTTTTTGTGAGGCAACTGGGGTTAAGTGACTTGCCCAGGGTCACACAGCTAGTGAGTGTTATGTGTCTGAGGACAGATTTGAGCTCAGGTCTTCCTGACTCCAGGGCCGGTGCTCTATTCACTGTGCCACCTAGCTGCCCCCTTCTTAAGTTTTGATAGATCAGTGTTATGTATAGTTGATTGTGGACAACAGCTTGATCTGTGACAGTGGTATGATTTCAGTACAGTTTATTTGGCTTAACTGAGTCCTCCAGAATATTCTGAGACTTCTATTAAGTCGAGTGATGTGGCAGTCATGTCACCAGGTCATATCTTCCTAGATATTCAGTTATTATTTCAGCTGAAACATAATAAAAGCCCCTTACTTTTAGTCTGGGTGTGTCTCTCTGCTTTAGATGTATTTCTTGTAAACAACATATCGTAGGGTTCTGGTGTTTGATCCACTCTGCTATTCATTTCCATTTTATGGGTGAGTTCATCCCATTCACATTCCCAGTGATGATTACTGTGTATATTATTCCCTCTTTCAGCCAATGAGAGTAAGGTTCAAGCATTGCCCACCCTACCACCCCATCTGCCCCTCTACTGTAGATATTCAGTTATTAGTAGGCCAGTAGGTGGCACAATGGATAGAACACTGGACATGGAATCAGAAAGACTTGAGTTCAAATTCAGCCTCAGATACTTAACTGTGTGACCTGGAAAAAAAAATCAACCTCTGCCTCAGTTTCTTCACCTATGAAGTAAGGATAACAGCACCTACTTTCTAAGGTTGTTGTAAGGATAAAATAAGATGACACTTATAAAGTACTTTATAAACTGTTAAAGTTCTATATAAATGCTATTATTATTAGTATCATCAATATTTTCAGTGTATTGATTATGCTTAAAAACTAGAAAAGGGTTCAGCACAGATCAATCAGTTCCCTAGTAGCTATTATGTCCTTATCAGAATCTTTTCTATAATTATTGTGGTGTGGTAGGAAGAACACTAGACTGGGAGTCAGGAAACCTGAGTCCTATTCCCAAATGGACTATTAACTAGTCATGGGGCTTTCAGCAAGTCACTTCACCTGTGTGGGTTTCAGATTCCTTATCCAATAATGAAAATAATAATAATAATAATAAAGCAGCTGACATAGTGTTTTAAGTTCTACAAAGCACTATGTATACACATACATTAACTCATCTGATCCTCACAACAACCCTGTGAGGATCCACAGCTCTTCTCTTGCCTTCAGGATGGGTACTGCTTCTGAAACCACAGAATTCTTTGACTTTCCCTGGAGGGTCCAAGTAGCTCCCCTGGGGGCACCATGGAGAGACCTAGAGATGGAGATTAAACAGATGATGTAAAAGGCAATGATGTCTTGGAGTTTCTCAGGAAGCTTCCTCCAGAGAAGAGCTCCTGCAAACAAATAACTATTATTTGTTGACAGAAAAGGAATCTGAGACTGAGAGAGTGATTTGTAAAATGAAGTTTGAGTTGATCTCTCAGATCCTTTCCAGTGCTAATAGTCGCAGGTTGATCATTTCATAAAACTGCACTAAAGTAGAAAACTTGAATTCTAAAACTTTGCAGACCAGAGTTGCAAAGGAACCTCATAATTTGAGATGGTTCTAAACAAGATTAGAAAAGAGGAGAAAATAAGAAAAAGACAGTCCTCAGGAGAGAGAGAACAAGCTTTTCTGTTCTAGCAAAGGCCAAATAGCAACTAAGGAGAGAGGAAGGTTCCATGGGATTTTAATTTTGATTTTCAGTTGGAGCTGACAGCTGAAACCAAGGCTTATAAATGAATGTTTTTCTTCTTGAACAGCTCGAGATGGAGAATCAGCACCTGAAAAACTACAATCAGCGCCTAGTAGGGCAAGTGAGAGCACTTCAAGAGGCCCTGGGAGGTAGGCAGCAGTCTCTCCTCTCAGGCCAGCTTTCTGGGAGACTCCAAGATGCCACTGTCATTGATACCTGTCTCTTTCCTCCCTATCTCCAGACCTGTCCATGGTGCTACCCGGGGAGTTACTGTGGTCCTTCCAGGGGAAGTCAAAGAAGAATTCTGTAGTTTCAGAGATATTTACCCATTGTGAAGGTCAGAGAAGAGCTGTGGCAGGCAAACAATCTGTAGACAATGCATCCTAGGCTCAGAGTACCTTGAGAGCAATCATCTCCTTATCTTCTCCAGGTACCCAGCAGGACAAAGACTTCATTCCTGAAGCAGGCAACACTTTGAAAGGTTCTGGGAGAGTCATTTGCAGAGAAATCTCAGAGGCCAAGGCTTCCCAACTTTCTCCTGGAGGTACTGTGGGGCTACAAAAATCAGCTCACTTGGGTGAAGTCCTAGGTGGTTTCCAGAGAGGGGTGCCCATTAAGCTGAGGTTCCCAGCCAGTGAAGGAGTCCTTGGCAGCAGCATGACCCTGCCAAAGGTTCGGGTTTTCCGTAACCCCCGGGACAGCATCCAACTTGCCAAGCGGCCCTATAGCCAGCCCCAGCTGAGAAATGGACACTTCAACCATATGATGAGCATTGAAATTAGCACTCTCCAGACCTCCCAGACCCACAACCTTCCCATGAATGAGACAAACATCGACCAGAAGAAAAGGAAAGAATCTATGGACACAAAACAGCCCTCCTCAGATAAGAAAGAAGTCAAAGGCAGTGAGCCAACCTCTAGATTAGACAAAGAAGAGCTGGAGAAGCCTCGTGCCAGGGAGGTAGAGATGGGGAACAAGCCTCCTACGCCCCCGCTACACCAATTCCCATCCTGGGTAAGAATTTTCAGTTCATTTTTCTGTGGACAGTGAATAACCCTAATAGTAGCTAGCACTGTTGTAATTTAAAGGTTTTCAAAGTGTCTTAATGTTTTCTCTATCAACAACCCTGTGAGACAGGTGTTATTTTTTACACCATCTTACATGTGAAGAAATTGAGGCTGACATCAGTTAAGTGACTTGCCCAGGAACACAGAGATTTGAACTCAGGTGGGTTGTCTTCCTTTGTAGACCAGCCCTCAATCCACTATGCCAGCCTGGCTGCCTATAATGAACATTGCATGTATGAGCTAAGCAGTCAGGTGTAGGAGGGGTATAACTTCAATCAGGAATTAGCATCTATAGATGGGCTTATAAGATTTAGAGCCAGAAGACTCTTAGAGATCATCTAGCTGAAACTTTTTTGGGGGGCAATTGGGGTTAAGTGACTTGCCCAGGGTCACACAGCTAGCAAGTGTCAAGTGTTTGGTCTGAGGCCGAATTTGAACTCAGGTCCTCCTGACTTCAGGGCTCCATCCACTGCGCCACCTAGCTGCCCCTGGCTGAAACTTTTCATCTTACAAGTCAGAAAACTGATTTAGCATTAAGGTGTATAACTGGGCTTGGAACCCAGGCAATATGGACTCTAAAGCTTGCCACTGTGATATAAAATAGCATGACCCCACCCCCCTTCTTCCCACTCTCTCCAAATGGACTACTGGAAATAGGAGAGTGAAGGATCAAGGTATCATGGGTACACCCTTCTCTTTGTAAGCCCAACCCAATGCCCAGAATCTACTCCCCAATGAGGAGGCACTGTATAGATAGCCTCCTGACAAAATATCAGCCCCACAAAAAGATTTTTTTCTAATTATCTTAAAGTCCACTTACTCAACATGTGACCTCTTAGCTAGATGTGGTCCATCCACACATGGCAGGGGTATGGCCTGCCTGAAATTTTTAGCATCCCCCCCAAAAAAAGGCTTTCTTTAATTAGTTAGTACTTACTAGACCATTATAGCCTAATAATCTAATAATCTGCTGCTATTTTTATATAACTGACTTGTCAGGTGTCCAATTGGAGCCTGGGATCAATTGTAAAAATTTCATGCGGTCCACACACATATAGATTTTTGCTTGTGTAATCCAGTATTGGGGGGAAGGAGAAGTTGGATGCCCTTTTCTTAAAGAATACTCTTTAAAAATGTAAATACCCACTGGAAAGGGTCATACCTTAAACTAGGGGTTCTTATCTACGTGCTAGACCCTTTTGGCAGTCTGATGAAGCCTAAGGACCCCTTCTCAGAATAATGTTTTTAAATGAATAAAATAAAATTTATAGAATTACAAAGGAAACCAAATGTTAGTGAAATCAAAAATAAAGTTTTAGGGAGTTCATGGGCACCCTGAAATCTATCCATGAACTTTTTGGGGATCCATGGATCCTAGATTAAGAACCCCTACCATAAGCTATTATTAGTAATTACCTTTACAGAGATTGACTGCTAGCTAAAAGCAAGAATGAGGCACAATATAAATATCTGGGGAAGCAAAAGACAAACTCCCAAGTCAAGATAATGATATAGATGAAAGAGCACTAACTATAAAATCAATGAAATCAAATCCCACCTCTGACATTTACTACCTGGTGATCTTGGGCCAGTTACTTAACTTTCTCAGGCCTCAGTTTCCTCATCTATAAAACTACATGTCCTCTGAGATTCCCTTCCACATCTAAAAACTATCATCCTATGAAACAAAGAGATGGGATGGTACCAAAAGTGTACTAGTGAATGTTTAACAACCAACTCTCTGGGGCAAGTGGTGAAGGGGATTGGAGAGGGGGAGGGAAGAGCATGAACAACACAATTTTAAATTTAACCTGCATTTTTAATGCTTCTTCCATCATTTTCTTGAGTCTAGACAATTAACAATTTGTAGTTGATTCTGGAAGAGTAAAGGCTCCCTTTGCAAATTTAACAATCAGCTCTCACTAGCCAGTCAGAGCTAACTTAGCACATTCCCTGCATGGTGATAAAGATAGATTTCATCTCCTTTGCAGTTTTGCCCAAGATTGGTCCTGGTCATATCAGGCAAAATCATCTGGTCCTTTTGGGTGACAGGACATAGACAAGGACAGTCTTCAGCATTTGTAATTCTTAGCTCTCTTCTGTCCCGGTCAAAGATGGAGAGGGAAAAGAGCCTGGAGACATTCAGGGTCAGCTAAAGATCCTGATTCCTTCTGTACAGCAGTTTTTCCTCACAAGTGCTAGTAGCTGTCATCCCAACTCTGGATGGATGGATCCTGGGAAGATCTGGTTTTGCTAAAACAGAGATTTGAAAATAGGAATTGAAGAACCAGGGACGCCTGAGGATGTGAACCCTTTCCTATCGAGAATTGCCTCATGGTGGCTTGCCTCTGCCTTAAAAGGTTACAGAATATGGGGGGCAGCTAGGTGGCACAGTGGACCGAGCACTGGCCCTGGATTCAGGAGGACCTCAGTTCAAATCCAGCCTCAGACACATAACACTTATTAGCTGTGTGACCCTGGGCAAATCACTTAACCCCATTGCCTAGCCAAAAAAAAAAAAAATTAATTAAGGTTACAGAATGTGGCAGTTCTTGTGGCGCTTTCCCAGGGAAGGAAGAGGGGAAAGGGAGAAGAAGCAGCAACGGCACAGAAGAGGATAAAAGGACCTCAGCAGAGTAAAATGGAGGGGAGAGTACTGAATTGGGTTGGTAATACATTAATACACATGTCTATAATAAATCAAAATGGGAACATTAAGATCAGATAATGGCTTTTTAAATAGGAATTTTCCCCAAAACATAGGCTTGGAGAGGGAGAGAGGACTGGGGCAGGAGAAGTAACCAGAGGCATAAGCAGAGATGGCCAGTAAAGACAAGTATAATCTCACCATTTGCCCAAATTCAGCCCTGCATGTTGAATGGGAAGACATGGCCATGGTGCCTATGTTCTGTCTTCACTGGTTTAGTGGATATGTTTGTACATGAATGACTACAGGGCATGCTAGCATCCTTCCCATGCTGGGCACCAAGTGAATATGGGGAAAAGGTGTTGATAATAAGATAATGGTTTCCATCACACCCTCCACACTTTCACCTGGTATTTGGAGTCCCATGGAATCAGCTAGGACTAGGTTAAGGTTTATTATGTGGCATCTTCTCAGTGTATGCACAACTCCCAGCTTCCCCTACACATTCAGGCCTTCATAATTCTCTCTCCCCAGGGAAAACCAGTATAAAGCCTAAGAATTCTGAGAACAGTATTACCTCTGTCAACTGTTAGTTATTAGGGAATCGGACTTTCAGATTTTGAGAGGTCAACAGAACCTATTCCCTACCCCCACCTCACTTGACTTTCAGAAAAGACTGCACTTCAACTATTGTAGACAACTGAGAATCTAGAGGACACACTGATATTTTAACAATTAGCTATCAGGAAGTTCATTATATCTAACTTAAATTTCTCTAATTACAACCTAAGCCATTCACCTTACTCAATCCTTAGTAGAGTTAAAGAAGGGCTAGGCATCATCCTAGGTATAAGAAATAATCTTTTTTACACTCAGTGATGCCTTTTAAGTGGCTCCTCAGAGTCCTCTTCCAAATAGTTAAATGACTCAGAGAGAATAGTCACTTTGTTTTCCCTTTCACCTAATCACATTACAGTATTGTGACCGAGATCTTAGTCCCCCATTATCACCAGTCTCAACTTTCACTCTCCCCTTGTTCAATTTTTTATCCCTGCCAGGGAAAGTTTTGCTCAGCCTTTCTCCCCAGCCCACCCCTATGAAGCCATAACTAGCTTTTCCCCAGGCACCATATTCAGAGAGACTTGGCTTTCTCCTGGGAGCAGGGATGGTGCTACTTTATCCCCACTATGGTCCAGTAACATCTCTGCTGACCCCATTTATCCACAAGGGTTGGTTTTAATGGCAGTGGATAAATGGGGTCAGCAGAGATGTTACTGGACCATAGTGGGGATAAAGTAGCACCATCCCTGCTAACAAAGTGACTAAGGGTGGGAAGGTAAGTGAACTCAGGAAAGATGGACCTGCCCAGGTGCAGCAGTGGGGATAAAGTGATGGTTTGATCCCTCTCAAGCCTCCTTGACATCCACTCCCAGAGACCATGCCCTTCCTGCCACCTTACCAAAGTATATGGGGTGAATGTCAATATCCTAGAGGAGGGAGAAGGGTTGCCCATTTCCTCTTTCCTCCTTCCCTTTTTCTAAACCCTGCTTTCTCTCCTTAACTTAGTCAATCCTATCTAGCTCCACGCTAACCCTCCTCTGCTCTATCCTCCTCTGCCCTCAGGAACCATCCTCTATTATTAACAAACTACCCTTTATCTAGATTGCTTCCTCTCACATTCCTTCCACCTGGTGTTCACTGAAACCTAGTGTTCTCCTGAAAATACTATTTCTCTTGGACTGTCTCCAAGGCTGGCTGTTCCCCTCATACCTATACAGGCAAAAGAGAAGCAGGCAGACTCCTTGCTCTCTACTGCCATCTACAGACAAAGAATTCTTACTACAGCATTCAAATGGTCATTCAGCTTTAGCCTAAAGTCCTCCAGGAAGGCAGAAGCCACTACCTCCAAAGTAAACTCATTCCATTTTGAGGTAGGTCTAATTGTTAGGAAGTTGTGTTTTTTTTTCCCTTAGGGGCCCTGAGGGCCAATCCTAATTAGGGGCTGTGATTTCAGGAGAGTCGGATTTATGCCGTGGCCTCATCTGGCATGCAGCTGTCTGAGGTGTCTCCTGGAAATGATGCTTCTTCCTGTGGTAAGTCCCAAACCAGATCTGAAATTAGAGGGCAAGGGGGAGATTGGGGTGGGGTGGAGGAGACAGTGCTGTCTCTGGGAGAAAGAGGAAAGGAGATTTTGGGAAAGGGTATCCTTTCTAGGGTTAGGACCAGGAAATATTGAAGCAAAGCAGCAACTCTCTCCCCCCACCAATATTTTTATGCCGATGAAAGCAAGCTGTGAAAATGAACATTGAAGACAACTTTGAAAATGAAAAAGAGCCACAAAAAGGTGGCCTGAAGATGTGGGAAAGGGAGGGAAGGAGGCAGTGGTCAGTACAGCCTCTTTGCTTTAATAATTGGGGTGGGGAGGTAGGGTACCAATAATTGACAAAGGCTAGGGAAAGGCTAGGGACTGGACTTGTGATTTCACCTGTATAAGGAACAACCTGGACTTGGAATCAGGAAGACATGAGTTCAAAAACTAGCTATGTGACCCCGGGCAAGTCACTTAACCTCTGCCTGTCTCAGTCTCATCTGTAAAATAGGGATAATAACAGCACCTATTTTGCAGGGTTGTTGTGAAGATCAAATAAGATGAAATATGTAAAGCATGTTGCAATTCTTAAAGTGATATATATACATATATGTTAGTTATTGTTTCCTAGTATTATTCTCTACAATCTTTATCGTTTTGGAGAATTGCCTACAGCACTGATTTCTTGCCCAGATTTAAATAGCCAGTGTATGTTAGAGGCAGGACCTGAATTCCTAGCTCCAGGGTTGGTTCTCTCTTCATTGTACCTACCATGCTGCCCATCATTTAATATCTTATCTATAATTTACATGACACTTTCATGTGCATTTGATCCTGTGAGGTAGGAGTATTCATTTTACAGATGAGGAGGCTGAGGGATTTGCTTAAAGTCAAGGCAAGATTAGAGTTTAGATTTTATAGCTTCTAATACAGTGTTCTTTCCAGGACAACACAACAGTTAATTACATATGTGTTAAACATTAAGCTTAGAGGTGTTTTTTTTGAACACTGCTTGATAGTAGACCTTCTAACTCCAAGTCTGGTTCCTGAAGCAATTTAAGAAACCCCCAAAAGGCCATCACTCTGATTTTCTATACCCTGGAGATGATTCTGGTGGAGGTCAAAGGAATCTTCCAGAGTTTGGCTTTCTAACAACGAGAGTTAATAGGAGAAATGAAATGGGGATACCTCAGAAGGTAGTGAGTTCCCTATTGCTGAAGAACTATAAACACACACTGAGTAACCACTTATTAGGGATGTCGTAGAAAGAGTTGAGCTCATGTATGGATTGGGCTGGGTGATATTTGAGTTTCCTTCTAATTCTGACATTCTGTGATTTGAGGAGAGTTGGGACAGGGAGTAGGATAAAGTGAAAGCTTCTCAGAGAGTCAATAATTTCCTATTTAGAACTGGCATTATGCCCCTTCCCTGGACATAAAAATACAGGGAAGAACACTGATTCTATGCCAATATTGAAATCTCTCATTTCCTCCTCATATTGCAGGGCAGTTCATGGCCCAGAAAAAAAGGCAAGGGTATTGTTTCCCCCAAGTCCTCCCTAGTCTAGGGTCTGAAGATAAGTCTAGTGTCTCCCTAAATTGGCCTTTCAAGGTCATGTTCCATCTTTCCCTTTGTGTTTTTGTTTAGTCATTTCAATCACGTCCAACTCTTCATGACCCCATTTGGGGTTTTCTTGGCAAAGATACTGAAGTGGTTTGCCATTTCCTTCTGCAGATCATTTTATAGATGAAGAAACTGAGACAAATAGGGCTAAGTGACTTGCCCAGGGTCACACAGCTAGTAAGTGTTTGAGGCTAGATTTGAACTCTTTAAGATGAGTCTTCCTGATTCCAAGCACAGTTCTCTCTGCCACCGAGCTGCCCCTTTAGTCATTTCCTCCCTCCACCAGTTCCCTCCCTGAGTTATGGTGCCCTAGTATTTAGCATCTCTTCTCTCTCTCTTCCCACCTCCAGTTTCAAGTTCTACATCCCTCACCTCCCCTGGGTCCTTCTCCAAGCTTGTCTACAAGAACTTCCATGTGCCTGTCTACACCACATTGAAGGGGGTAAGGAACCAAGAATTGGGTCTGATTACATCTTTTAGAGAAGACCCCTGGAGCTTTGATTGGTAAGACTGGCATGAGTGTCTAAGGTCAGGGTTTCATGCCTGTGTGTCTCTAAGCAGGACTGTATCATGCCCCTCAGTATCGAGCACAATTTCCCAGGAAGGACTCTCTCCACATGTTCCCATAGAGAATTAGTCCTTGGGAGGGACCAAACTTATCAAACCCTCAATATGTCCCTAGCTTTATGGAGCTAGGCCAGTTGTGTTCTCACCAGAATTAAGTCTGGAAAATTTCTTTGAGAAGAGAACCAGGGAAGATGGGGTGAAAAGAATAAAAGAAACGGAGTCCAGGAAATCAGGATGGTTACACTAGTGAAATAATTAGTAGTCCCTCTTAGTCTCTGTCTTCATCTGTTGAATCTCTGCCCATCCATTAAATCCCAACTCAGTTGTCCCTCTTCCATGAAATGTTCCCTGATACACATCCCCAAACACATGAAATCATCAATACTCACACATTTAATTTTCATGACTTAAAGCATTTGCATCATTTTATTAGTAACCTCATTTTCACTTTCATGTTAGCAACAGCACACATTTGTAGCTATGTGTAGTAGAGAAAAAAATGAGAGGCACAATGCGTGCAAGTTTGTAAAGTAGCTGGTATCCTACTAAACATTTCACTGGTCTTGTTCACCTACTGTTGTAAAGAGCTCCCATGCATTCCAAGTGTCAGAGGTGATATTGAGAACTCACCAGTTTCAGAGTCTTCCAACAACAGCAGTGACTAACATCCCAGCAATCTCTCCCTTAGTTTTCAGAGGGTGGCTAAGGTAGAGAGGTTTACAGCAATATACTATTGTGTGGAATCAATTTTATTTAAATTGAGATATTAGCACAAAAGATCACCGAATTCTAGGGAATTACTAGCAAGAAAAAATATTCTGCATGTTACCAATTTTATTTTGTGTATTGCATTTTATGGGTTACTTCATGGTTACTGTGTTAGGAAAAGTGTGTATTATTAGAATTGATGTTTTGTTATAAAAATGTATGCAGAAAAATGTATTTTCAGCAATCTCTAGTGAAAGATTGCAGTTTTGGGGTGGTTGTGGGAACCAAACCCCCTATTTCCTATAGATTCAATATATCAACATTTCCATTTTTTTTACTTTCATGACAATTTCTAGGAACATTACCTCCATGAAATTTGAGGACTGACTGAATATATACACCCATGTATATCATCAGTGATGGCCCTCCCCTTAAAACCTAAATAGCATTTTTGTAACTCATTAACATAATTTTGTACATTACAGTTTTCTGTATCTTATGCCTCTATTAAACCATAAGCTCCATGAAAATAGGCACCCTCTCCAAAATCTAATACATAGTAGGTACCTAATAAATGTTTGTTGTTATAAAAAGTACAGTACCCTCCCCAAGAACTTGCCCAACTCTCATTATTCCTTAGGAGCTGTTGATCAGACTTTACTCCAGGTGGTAGGAGGTAAGATGAACTAGAGATGATGCTCTTGAGACTTCTGCATAGTCACATGGTCATGACTCTCCGGGGGGGGGGGGGCGGGGATTGGCTTTCCAGAGAGCGACCCAGATCAGCACCATGCCCTTCCTGGATGAGTCCTCTGGTTCTGATGATGACTGCAGCTCTCAGGCCAGTTTCCAAACTTCCATCACCTGCATCGAGTCCAGGAAGGCCAGTGTACCAGGAAGCCCACGGGCTATCAAGAGAGGTACAGGGAGCCTGGGGCATGAATAAGGCCTCAATAATCTTAACCAGCAGGCAGTACCCCAACTCTCTCCAACTGGAAGTGGGCTATGGAGGTGACCCCACTGGGTTGTGGGACACTGCCACTCCTATCCAATAAGAGTTAGCTATTGGAAGAGTCAGCTTCTAAAGCAGGAGTTCTTAACCTTTTTGGTATCATGAACCACTTTTGTAGTATGGGCAAGTCTATATGCCCCTTCTTGGAGTAATGTTTTAAATGCATTAAAAATACACATAGGATTATAAAGAAAAATTATTTTATTGAAATGTAGTTATTAAGATATATACATTTAAAAAAAAAAGTTCAAAACCCCATATTAAGAACCCTTGCTCCAAAGAGTTCACATTGAATCTTTTGAATGAGTTATTCAAACTTCATTAAATCCCTGGGAAAGAAAGAGAAAGGATGCTAGGATGGTAGTCCCATTTTAGAAATGAAGAAACTGAGGTACAGAATTGAAAAGATATACCCAGGTTCCTTTTAGTAAAGTGAGAGCCAGAGTTCTTGGGTCCATTTAAAAAAATTCCTTGCAAAACACCACCTGGTCTCTTACCTCCTTCTTTGTAAGGGGCAATAGGAATACTAGGGGGGAACAGCCTGGACTGACTCATGAAGAGAAAAACTGCTTACCACTAAGGCTCTTTCTCTTCGATTGTTTGAGATAACTAAGAAGTGTGATCATCCCATCACCCAAGCAACTTGCCCCTTACCATATCTCTGGCCTGCTTTAGGAGGAGGAAGATATGATTGTGCCCATTAGAACTTACTACTTACTCGGGAGGTTGGGCAGCTTTGCCTGACATGGGCAGGGTAGATGCTTGAAAAAGGCATGGGAACATGTGTCTCTTGACTATCTCCTCCCACCAAACCCATTTTTCCATGGCCAGGTGTCTCCACATCCTCCCTGAGTTCATAGAGTGACTACGCTATTCCCCCTGATGCCTATTCCTTGGACAGTGACTACTCAGAGCCTGAATACAAAGTTCAACGGACCTCAATCTATTCCATCGATGGATTTGAATCCTATGGGGTAAGTGAGACCTTGGAAGCATGGCCGCAATGACTGAAAAGGAGACGACTTAGCTGGTGATTTACCATACTCCTTTAATTAGAAACTACAAAGAAAGGTTGACACATCTTGTGTCAAGTGCATTAGGATTATTCTTGTCTTTTTAAAAAATATGTATCTTTGGGCAATATTTGGTATTTGGCAATATTTTGTTTTGATACAACTGATACTTCCCAACAAACACCCAAATAAACCCCCCTAAAAGTGCATTTTCTGAAAACAGTTAAGCAAACCTGCCCAAATAGCATAGTTGCAACTGATAATTCATGTCACATTCCATTTTTAAAGTTTACACGTCATTAAGAGAAAAGGAACATATCTTTTAATTTGACAAAGGTACCAACATTGTCTGTTGTATCACTGTTCTTGACAATGTGGTAGTCATACAAGGTTTTCCATATTTGTCTGATTTTTTTTATTATTTGTCTCTCCTTACAGAACAGTAATATTCCATTACATTTATATATCACAGTTTGTTCAGTCATAGCTCAATTGTTGAGTATGTTTGTTTCTAGTTGCAGAAAGAAATAATTCTTACCTCTTCTGTGTCTATACTTATTCTCTTGATTTCTCTTCCTTATCTTTATTGCCACAGCTAGAATTTTTAGCACTAACAGTGGAGACACTGGGTAACCTTGATTCAATCTTTATCTTACTGGGAAAAGTTTCCAGTGTTTCTCCATCACAAACACTGTTAGCAGCTCGTGCTTTTTAATCAACACTTTGAATCATATCAAAAATTATTTTCAGCATTTTTAACATAAATAAGCCTATCTTTTGTCAAAGACTTTTTCTGCTTACATTTGTCTAATCATGTGATTTTAGGGATTTCTGGTATAAATATGATTAATGATGCTAAGAAAACAGCATGGTATAGTGAGTATTTCATGGAACATCCTCAGAGTCAGGGAGATCTTAGTTCAAATACTGATTCTGACACATACCACTGACCCTGGGCCAATCATTCAACCTCTTGGTGCTCTAAGTAATTCTCTAAGACTATCTATACATTGGAGAGAAGGTACTGACCTGATTAGTCATCAGGATCTTCTTACATCAATGAAATCACAAGTCTGGTTTAAAAAAATTCTAGTAGTTTTCCTAATATTGAACCATCCTTACATGCCTGATATAAATCCAATCTGGTTGTAATGAATAATTTTTGGATGTAGTCTAGTAGCTTCTTTGCTGTTATTTACTTAATACTGTTGCATCAATATTGATTAGTAATTTTGCAGTGTCTTGCCTTCTTAGAATTTATTTAGAGTTTTATTGATATATTTTTGTTTTTACACTAGTCATTTTCCTATATTGCAATCTATCATTGGACCCTCCTTTGTAACAACAACAAAAAAACCTGTTAAGTTAAACAGACCAAAAAAAAAAAAATCTACATTAGAAACATTCTATGCCCATAGTTCTCCACCTCTCTAAAACAAAAGAGTATTTTATTATCCATTCTCTATGACCAAGTTTGGTCATTGCAATTGAACTCAACTGCTTTTTGGTGCTGGATTCATTTACACTTTCATATTCATTGTGCTCATTCTCCTAGTTCTTCTTAATTAGCTCTGCATCACTTTACCCGCCATCACAATACTCTGTAGGTCTATGTTTTCTGGCAAAACAGGCTAGAGGTTGAGTTTGTTCCTTATATGGTAGTATCCTCTCTTACGCAGAAACTCCCTTGCCACCATCCATTCCAACCAAGAGACCAGGATCTCTCCAACTTACAAGATTACCTCCAAGACTGAACAAGTCCATCTCAGGATCATTGTTCAATAACCTGGGAGCGGAAAAATAAACACAAAGCAGAAGAGACAACTAAGACTCTTAGATTCAGCCTCAGGCTCACCCAAGCAGGAAGACATGTGCTCTGGTTACCATAATGGGGGTGGAGGAAAGGAGGCTTATTAAGGGGTCCCCTGAACTTATCTTTTTGAGTTGTCATATTTTCCAGAAACGCTGGACCCAGAGTATACAGGAGAATCTGAACATGTCAAAGACAAAGCCCCCCTTGAGCTGACATAATTTGTTGTCTGCACCCCAAGCTGGACTCTGTGTGTGTCCTTAGAGGTCAAGACAGGCACCAGTCAGTTTGCTAAATAGTCCTGGCATGATCTGCAGCTAGAAAAAGAAGAAAGTAACTAAGGACAGATCACTGCTTTTTAAGGGTCCACTGTGTTACTGATTTTTCCTGCTAAGTGGCTTGTAATGAATCTGCTTTATCATCTCAAAGCACCTTCAGGACTTAACCATATATGGCAAGCCTGAAGCAGGCAGGGCAGCTCTGCATGTGCTGTCTGGAGATGTACCCCATTTCAACCCCTTCTACAAGGTGATAAAGAGGAGCTGAACTCAGACTGGACTGGTCCCTCAGTCATCTTGCCAGAATTTTCTAACCCTATATTCTTTGTGTGAGAAATGAGGTCCCTAAGGGGACGGCAAGAGGAAGAGTGGGTAATGACTGCATTACAAGTAGGCAATGGAGACAATATATGTGATAGGTGCTCAGTAAGTATTTATTGCACTGAATTGGAGAGCAACTTGTCTCGAAGAGTCTAGTTATAGGGACAGGGCCCAGACAGTAAGCAAGGACAGACTGCTCAAGACCTGGCTATGACCAGCCTTTCTCGCCTTACCTCGCTCTTTTCCTTTATAGAAACCCTTTACTCCCAGATAAATTGGTCTACTGTTATTTCCCAAAGACACCTTGTTCATTCCTTGCTTACCAGTCCTTGGTCTTGTCTGGAATGCCCTCCCTTCTGTGTCTTAGACAATTTAAGTCCTTTCACTGATCAACTGAAGCTCCATCTTCCTCTTGAAAACTTCTTGGACTATCTCAAGACCAATCCCAGAGATAATTTCTCTGAACTACCACTCATTTAGCAGTTGTCATACTTTATCTTACATGGCTATTGATTTTTGTATCTATTTTCTCACCTAAGGCTTTCAAAGGTAGACACCATGTCTTACACCTCTTTGTACCCTATACCACTAGGAGGGATACACTACCCTACATGAGGCATCACTGAGAATCTGTAAACTCTCAATAAATATATGTTAATGATGATACAACAATTGAGGCAGCTAGGTAGTACAGTGGGTAAAGAACTGGACCTGGAATCAGGAAGATCTGAGTTAAAGTCTATCCATCTGTGTGACCCTGGGCAAGTCATTTAACCTCTTTGCCTCAGTTTCCTCATCTGTAAAATGAGAGTAATAATATCACCTACTTCCCAGAGTTGTGGTATCAATAAGATAATATTTATTAAGTACTTTGCAAACTTTAACATGATAAATATATATGCTAGTAATTATTATCAACAACAATAAGAGAGTAATCGGTTTCATATGAATAACTGTGGCCTAGAGTATATCTAATAGCTCTGACCATATTCTCTTTTTTGTTCTTTCCACCTCAATTTCCACTTCCTTCCATGTCTATAGGAATCACTAGAGAAGTCAGGCTACCTACTGAAAATGGATAGTCGGGTGAAGACATGGAAAAGACGTTGGTTTGTTCTAAGACACAGACAAATCATGTTCTACAAGTCCCCGGTAAGGTCGTTCCCACAGGCCTATCACCATAGCACAATCATAGGACAAAGCAAGAGACATGGGGCAAGGGGGAGAAGGAGTAAAAGGCTAACCTCTCATCCGAACTTCAGCAAGCACTGAGCCAGAAACATGGAGAACACCACTGAGAAGGAATATAACCCTGGAGGGAACTGACATATTCACATTACAACCATGAGGCTCAGAATAGGATGCAGTATGAAAAGCCTGAGGGCCATAAAGCTTGGCAGTTCCCCAGGTGGCTTCTGGACCCATTCGGATAGTTCAATCTGTCCTTTTGCAACATTGGTCGATGGGACCTAACTGAGTTCCTACTTCTTACCCTATAAAACACAGCCTAGGTACCATATCCCCAGGCACTGTACCTGTTCTCTGCTAAGTCTTCCTAAACTGAGACACTACCACCAGGAAAGTCTGTGCGTCCTATTCCCCCAGACGTGTCAGAAGGTTACGAGAGGGTGAAAAACGAAGACTGCGTGATTCAGGTAGTAATGCCCCCATACCTCAACCTTGCTCCTCTGCCATCTCTTCCTACAGATTGATGTGATCCAGAAACCACAAGGTCAAGTAGAACTGAACTCCCACTGCCACATTGTCCGGGGGGAAGGCGCACAGACATTTCAGGTGAGTCTTACTTGTGTATACATACATTTATCATCTTCTGAAATAGGGCCCAGATGCTGAGGACAAGATGAAAAAATGAACCTAGAAGTAACTGAGTCCATGTTAGGTAATCAAAGTACATAGAGAAGACACTAAGTTCAAATTTGGCCAGGATTCCCATCTGGATATGAGAAGGGAGGAAAAAGAGAAAAAAACATAGAAAAGGAGAAGGTGATGGTGAAAGATGAAAAAGGGAAGATGGAAGAGGGGGGAGGAGGGAAGTGTAGAGAGAAGAAGAGGCTGAGAAGATGGGCCAATAAACCCTGGGATCTGTGAAGACCCAAATGCCTTTCCTCCATTTCCTCTCATTCCCTATATCCCCTACAGCTCATCTCTGAGAAGAAAACCTATTACCTGACCGCAGATTCTCCCAACTTGGTGGAGGAGTGGGTCCGGGTACTCCAAAGTCTGCTGAAGGTGCAGGCCATTGGATCCCCAGCCCTGCCACAGAGTGGGGCTAAGCCCACTGTGAGAGGCTGGCTGACCAAGGTATGAGCAGTCCCCATATTGTGAGCCTCCTGAAAAGACAGTGGAGGAGACAGGATGGAAAGAGGCCAGAAGGGGTTATGGAATCCTGCCTCATATCATATCATAGAGGCAGGTAAGTGGCACAGTGAATAGAGTGCTGGACTTGGAGTCAGGATGGCCTGAGTTCAAAACCAGCCTCAAATTCTACTAACTAAAACGGGAATAACAGCACCTACCTCTCTGAATTATTGTGAGGATAAAATGAGACATTTGTAAAATATTTTATAATTCTTAAAGTGCTATATAAGTACTATCATTATTCCATATAGCACCTTTTACTCAGAATCTCCATGCACGTTCTGGACCAATAATCTTGAAAGTATAGGGCTATGGCATGACCCCAAACAGTGCATGATCAACCAACTGAAGGGCTAAAAGATGGGTTGCAGATCAACCTCTCTACTCAAAGGGTCTGTCTCTAGGAGAACTACACCCCTTCTTTCATCCATTATTTCCAACACTGTGCCCTCCCACTACTGGCGTCCTGCTGCATGGAAGCTCCTAACCTCGCCACTTTCCACCTGGCTTTGGCCCCTCCGAGGGTTTACAATCTGAGGCCCTGGCATCTGCACTAGCATGTGTGGGTAAAATTCTTGCCCCCAATATACCTACATCGTACCCCCCTAGATTACCTCATAACTGTCTGTGGCAAGCACCCCTGCGGGGAGAAAGAGAGAGGACGTAAGTGTTCCACTTCATTTCTGGTGGGACAGAGTAAGTCACACAAGATGAACAAGCATGGATGGATTTTACTTCATTATCTTTCTACCTCAAATCTACACTTTTTCCGAACTCCCCTATTTCTATTGAAGGTGTCATCCTCCACTCCTCACTCTCATGTATCCAATCACCTATGTATCCAATGAGATGCCAAACCTTGCTGTTTCTACCTCCAATACATCTCTCAAATTCAACCCTTTCTCTTCAAATACAGGCACCACAACTAATTCAGATCCTCAGCACCTCCTGCCTAGGCTACTGAAACAGCCTCCTAATCGATCTCCCCAACTCAGGTCTCATTCCACTCCAAACCACCCTCCACACAGCTGTCGAAGTGACTTTTCCTAAAGCACAAGTTCAGCCATGTACATTGCCTGACTCAAACTCCAGTGGTTCCCTATTCTAGAATCAAATATTATCTCCTCTTTATCTCTCATACTTCTAAAATTTCAACTTTTTGTGTGTAAGTTTTCTAATGCACATAATTGTTAGAAAGGCAAGTGTTATGGCTGATGCAGAAATTTGTTTTGCATATCCATATATAGTGGTCATGAGTATTTTGGTTTTGTTTTTTGTTTTTTTTTCCCCTTCTCAATGGGTGGGGAAGGGGAAAGGGGAAGGGAAAGAATTTGAAGAAAAAATAAAATTGAATTTTTTTAAAAGAAAAAAAAAAGGCAGTGTTATATAGTAGATAGAAGGCTAGTCTCAAAATCAAGAAGACCTGGGTTCAAGTCCTTTCTCTAATACATACTGACTGTGTGACCCTAGTAAAGTTACTTTAATCTCTGAATGATGTAGGCAACTAAGAGTATAAATTGCAGAAAAGGTGCTGACCTTCATTGATAGAGAGAATTTCCTCACATGTGATTACCCAACAGCAATGAAATCACAGGTCCAGTCCCTATCTTTTGTTACTATTAGCGTAATGGGACATGTATATAATTTATATATTAGTAATAGACATCCATTGAAGGTATATATTCAAAAAATCTTTACTCATAGTGGCATACTAGCAAATAGGTCTGGAGACCATAGCTATAGAAATTAGCTAGTTCATCCTCACATCATACTCTAGAAATGTGGGAACTATTAGTTTCATTCCTTTTACAAATGGAGAAACAGTAGCCTGAAATGGGTCCTGAGCTTATGGCAACCAAGAATACCCATCTGGTTCCATTTCTACTTCCTTTAGCCTCGAAGTAATAGCCTCTCGTGACTCAAATTTGACAAAGCAAAGGGGCTTTTCTAGTCATATGATAAGCAACAGTGACAAGGATAAGATGGGCCTGGGCCAGGGACTCTAAAGGGAAAAAAAAGACAAAGTGGTTTTGTCTATCAGCTAGCATTTATTAAGTGCCTACTGTTTGCCAGGTACTGTGCTAAGCTCTGCTATGGATACAGAGAAAAACAAAAAATAGTCCCTTCTCCCAAGGAACTCAGTCTGATAAGGAAGACAACACACAAGCAACTATGTACAAACAAAATATATACAAGATAAATTGAGGGTAGTCTTGGGTACTAAGATTAAGAAAGGAGGACAGGGAAGAGCTTCCTGCAGAAGGTAGAACTTTAGCTGAGACTTGAAGGAAGCCAGGGAGGCTTGGAGATGGGGCTGAGGAAGAAGAGAATTCTGGACATGGGGGACAACCTATGAAAATGCAGAATTGGGAGATGGAGTGTCTTGTGAGAGGAACAGCAAAGAGGTCAGTGTCACTGGATGACAGTTTACATGGAGAGGAGTGAGATGTTAAAAGACTGGAAAGGTTGGAGGGAGCAAGGTTATGAAGGACTTTAAAAACTAAGCAAAGGATTTTGTATTTGATCCTGGAAGTGATATTGAGTTAACTGAGTTAAGGGGGTGATACGGTCAGATCTGTACTTTAGGAAGATCAAGGGGGCAGCTAGGTGGCACAGTGGATAGAGCACCGGTCCTGGATTCAGGAGGACCTGAGTTCAAATCCGGCCTCAGACACATAACACTTACAAGCTGTGTGACCCTGGGCAAGTCACTTAACTCCACTGCCCAACCGAAAAGAAAAAGAAAAGAAAGGAAGATCGATTTGACAGCTGAATAGAGAAAGACTTGAGTCTTGAGACTGGGGGAGAAATGAGACAAGGAGACCAACCAGCAGCCAAACAGCTCTAGCCATGGCAGCTCTAGATATCAAGAATAAGGATTGTTGGAACCCCTTTTCTAGGCAGTAGTTGCTTTCCAAGCAGAGGGACAGAAAGGAATTTCTTCTACTTTTTCCCTGGGTTACTAAGGATTGAACTGTCCCCATGCAACTTTCTAGATGAAAATAGAAAGCAAGATGCCAGGGCCACATGTAGACAACAGCTGTTCTAGTCATGCTGCTTCCTTTGTACCTCACTAGGTAAAACATGGTCATTCCAAGCTGGTCTGGTGTTCTCTGATCGGAAAAACCTTCTACTACTATCGAAGCCATGAAGACAAGGTATTTTACTCAATTTAGTGATAGTTTACTATAGGTTTTTCTTTTCCCCTCACCTTGGGGACCATCAGTATCCATTCCTTTGTTTCTTCAGAATAAAAAACCAGTCACCCAGACCCCTGAATTTCCTTGGACCCATAGATTTCTGGTAGTCCCTGCTGAATTTGACCTGTCCTTTCAATATCTAAAAATTTCAATTACCTGCCTCCATCCAGGATGTCTAGCCAGTGACTTCTGCCTATGTAGTTTGACTGCTTGGCTGTATTTTTCCAACTGAACTTCATTCTGCTTTCTGCATTGTTGAGCTGGTTGGAGACGTTCCCATCCTCATTTTCCTTGCCCTCATCTCCCCACCTCTGGTAATCCCAAGACACAGGGAGGAGAGTGGCTCTAGCTCCCTCTCACTAATCGTGTCTGTCTCTAGTATCCTTTGGGCTGCTTGCCTGTTCAGGGGGCATTTATAGAGGAGGTGGATCGTTCCTGTGATTCAGATGAAGACCACGAAGCCACTGGAGCAATGAGAAGGCTTCTCTCTTCCCACTGCACCCTGGTGATCCAGCCCCCAGAACACAGTCCCACCTATCTTCTCATTGGTTCCAAGCATGAGAAGGTAAGGCATGGAGTGGGACAAAATGGGGCCACCAAAAAAGAACTGGGGCTGATAATTTCACTCTCTTCCCTTTTCCCTCAACCTTGAACTTAAGGAAGTTTGGCTTTGCTTCTTTCCCCACTGCCTCTGCAGCTAACCTTTGGTGACTAGTAGGTACAGAATTCTTCCAAATCTTAGAATCCCTTGAAACAGCACTCTCAGAGGGGAATGACTCATTCATTTGGGGGAATGAAAAGGAGCCACGTGTTTGAAAATCTAAGTTATTCTTCCCCATGTGGCCCTGAATCTCTGCTTATGCTTGTTGGTTATGGCCAAGTGTCCTTGCCCCTTCAGTGCACTTCACCTAAAACACTGAATTCTGCCCATTAGACTGTGACTGGTTTGGGTTTTTGTTTTGCTTTGTTTCAGCCTTTCTTTGAATTTGTAGCATTTAGCATAGTGACTGGCATACTATAGGTGCTAAGTAAGTGCTTCTTGGAAGCATCAGCTAACTCTCCTTCACCTCTAGAACACATGGCTCTACCACCTCACAGTGGTTGCAGGTAGCAACAGTGCCAAGGCAGGCACTTCCTATAAGCAGCTCATTGGAAAACTGATGGATGAAGAGGGAGACCCCAGGTAAGCAGCATCCAACAGGCTTAATATTTAGGTGGAATGGGTGGATGACTTGGTGAGATTGTTTAGGGAGCAATAAATGAGTCATTCCTTTGACTGTTTTAAGACTTGCCTAGCCATTAAGGAAAATACTTAACTCCAACACCTCCACAAGCTTGGGTCAGGGCTGGGATGACCTACTCTTTGTCTCCTGGAGACTTTCTCAGAGTAAGACGTTTTCCAGTTACCTAGTGGAAGTTTCACTCTGTTTAGCCCTCAGCTTTGAAGGCAGGAAAAAAGGGTCGGTGAATGAAGGTGACTAGTTAATCTGTAGCTAGGGCATGTTAATAAATGAAACAGGAATGGAAACAGGGCTTACCTGAGTGCAGAATATTTGAGGTTCATTTGACTAATGATGTTTGTTCTCTCTCTCTCTCTCCCCACCTCCTCTCCTTTCCTCTCCTCTTCTCTCCTCTCTGTCTCCCTATCTCTATCTCTCTCCCTCTATCTCCTCTCCTCTCCCCTTCTCTCTCTCTCTCACTCTCTCTTCCTCCCTCTCTTTCCCACTCTTTCTTCTCTTCTCTATTTCTCTCCCTTTCTCCCTCTCTCTCTTGTCTCCTTCTCCCCTTCCCTCCCTCTCCCCGTCTTTCCTTTTCTTTTTCTTCCTTTCTCTACCACTTTAGTCAGGGCCATATTCTCCTATATCTCTGTGTGCAGCTAACTGTGAATTAAAATTGTTTTATTCTTTGGATTTGTATCCCCAGTGCCTAGTATAGTATAGGCACTTAATGAATATTTGTTGATTGATACAATGGCCAAATTAAGTCTTCATACATGTATAAATACTTGTGACCACAATTATATGTTATACACACTTCCTTCATAAGCCATAATGATGAACTCAATGCCAACTGTGTGCCTAAGGACACTCCCTACCCTTGTCCTCCCTTCAAGGCCAAACTCTAGGGATGAAGCCTTCAGGATGGTAAATGACCCTGGTGGTAAATGACACTGCCTTCTGCTGCTGTGCTCCTATCAGGTTCCCCTTTGTGGAGACACCCTATGCTGTGCTATAGTAAAGATGGGCTTTGTGCCTCCCTCACCACACTGCCCTCGGAAGCCCTGCAGACTGAGGCCCTCAAGCTCTTTAAGGTAACTGATCAGGCAGCCTATGCCATCGTCCCTGTTCTCTATCTTCCACGAGGTGTCCTGACCAGTACTTACATGCAGCCCTCTCAAGCAATAATGTAGCCAGTATACTCTTGTCTTTGTGAAACTAGTAGACAGGTTGGAAGAGCAGGGAGAAATGAACACTCCATGTTGCATCACCTGCCTGGGTTTTATGGTCTCATCCTCCTCTTTGAGAACAGAAGCCCAAGTACCACTACTGGGAAAGGATCTTCACTGAAAGAAGAAGCAGTGGAAACAGCATTTGAGGCACTGGGAAGAAGGCCTTTTCTTAAAGTGAAATGTATAAATGGTTCCCTGCTAAAATGCAGCTTTGCCTTCCTCCTTCTATTGTGACAGATGAGTCCCATTCTATCTATTCTTGTGTCTTATGATTATAGAACTAATTATAACTGTAGAAGGTGAAGTGGAGTATCTCTCCTTTTTACAAAGCTTCCAATGGAAGTAACTGAATTCCAGTGCAATGGGTCATTGTTGTTCAGTTGTTTTTTTCAGTCACGTCCAACTCTTTGTGACCCCATTTGTTATTTTCTTGGCAAAGATACTGGAGTGGTTTGCCATTTCCTTCTCCAGCTCACTTTACAGATAAAGAAACTGAGGCAAACAGGGTTAAGTGATTTGCCCAGGGTCACATAGCTAGTAAGTATCTGAGGCCACATTTGAACTCAGGTCTTCCTGCCTCCAGGCCTGGCACTCTATACACTGTGCCACCTAGGGGTTAATAATGGGTCGTACATAGTACTTAATAAACAATATTTACCTTCCCCCTTAAAAACCCAATCATCTCTCCAAAATTTCCTATTTCCATCAAAGGCACCACCACTCCTCCATTTGCACATAACATTACCCACTCCCCCTCACCCTCTCACCTAAACCAATTGCCAAATCTTGATGTTTTACCTTCCACAATATCAGTGGCAACCAGTCACTTCTCTCAACTCACACAATTACCACCTTAGCTCAGGTTCTCATGACCTCCTGCCTAACTTTATGGCAAGGCTTCCCTGCCTCAAATCTCTTCTCACTCTAATCTCTCCTCCACACGGCTGCCAAAGTGATCTTCCTGAAGGATAAGATCTGACCTTGTTCTACTTAGCAAGCTCCACTGGCTTCCTTGCCTTTTGACATGCAGCAAACTCCTAAAGCCCTTTCATAACCTTGTGCCAACCTATCTTTTCAGCTTTCCTATAAATTGCTCCATCCCTTCCTACTCTGCACGTCAGCCAAACCGGCCTTCTGTCTCCTGACTTTGCACCAGAATGGACTTTCTATTTTACTTCCACCTAGGGGCCAGATGAGTGCTGAGCCTGGAGTCAGGAACACCTGAGTTCAAATCTAAATCGCCATCTCTACTTCACTTTCCCCATTTGGGGATAATAGCACCCACCTCCCAGGGTTGTTATGAGGATCAAATGAGATATTATTTGTAAAGTGCCTAGCACATAGTAGGCATTTAAATAGCTTATTTTCTTCCTTTTGTATCTTCCTTCCTTTCCTTTCTTCCTTTTCTCCTTCCTTCCTTCTTTCCTCATAAAATTTCTCTTTTCCTTCAAGACATAGCTCAGGCATTACCTCAGCCCTTCCTGACCCCCTCAATGGCTAGTGCCCTCCCCTGAATACTACTTTGGGTCTGTTTGTACATATTCTCTTTATATTTATTCTTTATATACTTGTATATGACCTTGTTGCCTCCCCCATTATAATGTAAACTGCTTTCAAGTAGGGATTGTTCAATTTAGTGTACTTCTATTCCCAACACAGTGCCTGACACATAGTAGATGCTTAATAAATGTTTGTTGATTGATTGAAAGTGAGGAAACCAGTCCCCAAAACCCCAGCCCTTCCCTTGAGGGTATTACCCAGCACCTTTCCTTAGTAAAAGTGGGCCCATCCCAGACCACTTCTGCTAAAGGACTCTAAACACTTTCTCTAATTAGCCACTGTTTAGTTTCTTAGTGGAAAGTGTTGGTGGTGTTGTTGTTTTTCCATTTGAAAGGCAGAAGACCTGAGGCACATAAAGAATACTATTTGTTCAGCAGTAGAACAGAGGAAGCTAAAAGGGAACCCAGGAGTCCTAACTTCCCATTAAGGCTGCTTCTTGTGCTGCCTGTGGAGCAGAAACACTACATCCCTAAACCCCCTCCCTGCTCCCCTCTTCCCCCACCTCAGCCCTTAACAATAAACAACCATTCCTCATTTGGGAAAGAACTAGGAGTGAACTCAATTCTTGATTCTCCTATCCAGTCTTAAGACTTCTGGAAAAATGCAGCCCACATTACTCACCCGTCCCACTGGAGTGAGAGAGATCATTTCTGCTGCCTGAATTTCCGAACCTGAATCTAGCCCCCTGGGACTTAAAGTCACTTAGCATCTTGGCCATGAGGGCTTTGGGTGCCAAGAAGGATCAGAAGGCATGGGGGACTTGCTTCTAATTCTCAGTCAGTCAGGGAGCATTTATTAAGCACATTATGTACCAGATACTGTGCTAAATGCTGAGGACATGAAGGCCAAAAAAAACAAACAAACAAAAAACAAAACCCAAATAAACAAACAAACAAACAAAAAAAAAACCAGCCCCTGCCCTCAAGGGCATTTCATTCTAATGGGGGAGAAAACATAAATAATTAAGTACATATAACAGAAGGAGAGAGTAGATACTTATTTGCTTCCAACTTTTGTTTCTCAGTCCTGCCAACTGTTCATCAATGTACCTGTAGAGGCTGCCTCTGTGGACTACCATGTGTCACTGGCCCAAACAGCTCTGCAGGTGTGCCTGGTTCACCCAGAACTGCAGGGTGAGCTCTACTGCCAGCTCATCAAGCAGACCAGCTGCCACCCCCCACAGCGACATTCCCTCTTGCAGGTGAGTGTATGTTGAATGGGGGAGGCACAGCCTCAACAGAAGATAGGACAGCCCCCCTCCCCCAGGCCAACTTTTCCCAGTGGTGAGGATCCGCCTGTGGGGAAGTAGGAAAGATGCAGAGGGTAGGAGCAGGTGATCCCTTCAGCTATACCAACAGATTGGGGTTGCCCAGATTGATGATCTTATCTCTCTGTCACATCTCTCCAGGGGGTGGGGGTGGGGGGGTCACATCTTTGCCCCCTCCTTAATTCTCTCCACACTGACAGATCATCTGCTTGCCCATTCTTGTGACCGGTGATAGCCGCAGATTTGATAGTGTTAGACGTCTGGGTTGAGAAAAGAGAACACTGCCGTTCTCTAAGGTCCATGGCAAGGCGAGGACAACTAGACCCTGCACTCACTTGTCGGTGCCTGGTTTCCCTTGGCAGTGCTGGCAGCTCTTTGCTCTGTGTGCTCCCCTTTTTCTGCCTCATCATCACTTCCTCTGGTACATCCAACAGCAGCTCCAGCGCCACGCAGATCCCAGGTGAATAGATGGCATTTCCTTTATCCTGGTCTCTCTCCATATCTCCCTCTAGCTCTAACACTGAACATGATGGATTTAAGAGGGAAATAAGAAATATTATGGAACACATGAAAAAATGAAGGCCCCAAATCATCCCTCCCCTCTGATTTATTGAGAGATTTGTACATGTAGATCAGTGGTGCCAAACTCAAATAAGAATGGGTCCCTGGTGGGCAACATATTAACTTAGAAAACCACAAATTAACACAAATTATCTATGTTGTACTGTATTTCTCTTTATTTTGTTAAACATTTCCCAATTGCATTTTAATCTAGTCCCAGCATACTCAGGAGTTCTGTGGGCTGTAAATTTGACACTTTTGATGTAGAACCCACATAAAGATCCAGGTGCACCTAAGTTTCTTTACACACTGTTGCAAGCATACACACATCCACAGACATTCATCTGGGGTATTCACCCATAGTTACAAAGTCTTTCTAATGACCCCAAAGGTTTCGGTTTTTTAAAAATTAGCTCCATTCTGGAAATACTTAGCCATAAGTCAGATCTTACCCCTTCTTTAATCTATCACATTAAATAAATCCCAATCATTTTTTCTGAGCTTCCTGAATTTAAATCAGGTTGCCCCTACTTTTCCTCTTTCTTCTTAACACTCTTCTGGCTGGGTGGCTGCCAGTGTGAATCAGGAGATATCTGTGTTATAAACTGATATCGTATGTGTCCTGAGTAACAGCTGGAAGACAGAGCAGGCTTAGATTTCCCTGGGGATTCTAGCTCATGAGCCAGTGCTGAAAGTTGTTAGGGCCTAAGTATGGTGAGTCCCTCATAGCAGTCCCATCCTAGAGTGAATTAAACCTTGAGGATCCCATGAGCATCCAGATATTGAAGAATTCATAGCAACTTTCCAAATTTAAGCTCCTTAAAATTAACCCATAAACATTTATTAATTTCCTACTATGTGCCAGGCAATGTCCTAAGCACTAGGGATACAAAGAAAGGCAAAAAACAGTCCCTGTTCTCAAAGAGCTCATGGTCTAAGGAGGGAAACATGCAAACAATTATGTACAAACAAGATATATACAGGATAAAGTGGAAATAATCAGCAGCGGGAAGGTGCTAGCATTAAGGGGGATCAGGAAAGGCTTCTTATATAGAAGGTGGGATTTTTATCTGGGACTTGAAGGAAGCCAGGAAACACAGATGAGGAGAAAAGAGTGTCACAGTCATGGGGTAAACTGTAACTGTTCAGAGTTGGGAGATGGGGTGTCTTGTTTGAGAAACAGCAAGGAGGCCAGCGTCACTGGATCTCATAGGATGTCAAATAGGAGGGGAGGTGTAAGAAGACAAGAAATTTGGGGCAAAGGTTCTAAAGGGCTTTGAACATCAAAGAGAGGATTTTATATTTGATCCTAAAGGTGACAGGGAACCCCTCGAGTTTACTGAATAGGGGAATGACAAGTTCAGACCTGTGCTTTAGGAAGATCACTTTTACAGCTAAGTGGAAGCTAGACTGGAGTAAGGAGAGGCTTGCAGCAAGGAGACGAACCAGCAAGCCACTGAAATAAGCCAGGTGTGAGGTGATAAGGGCCCATACAAAGAGGAGAGAAGGGGCTGTAGGCAAGAGATGTTATAAAGGTAAATAGACAGGCCTTGGCAACAGATTGGAAATGGGAGGCAGAGGGGGAAGGGTGAAAGACCATGAGAAGTTGCATATCTCCAGGTCTGCAGGCAACATAGTCATGATTTGATACCATTTAAACTCCAACATGACAGGGATGAGTGTGATCTCCAGCGGTCCCGTCTCCTTTCTGTTTAGAAGTGAAATTGGACAATATGCTACCTACTGCCAGCGAGCCGTGGAATGGACCCTGGAGGCTGGGGAACGGGAAGCCAAGCCATCTTGCATGGAAGTAGTGTCCATTTTACTACGCAACCCCTACCACCACTCCCTGCCCTTCAGCATCCCTGTGCATTTTGTCAATGGGACCTACCAGGTGAGACAGGCAATACTTTCCTCCTGGTCCTCATTTCTCTAAGATTCCCAACCTTTTCCCTTGATACTATTTTGTTATTGTTGTTCAATTGTGTCCGACTCTTTATGACCCTGTGGACCATACTGTCAATGGGGTTTTCTTGGCAAAGATATTAACTGGTTTGCCATTTCCTTCTCCAATGCATTAACAGAGGTTAAGTGATTTGCCCAGGGTCACACAGCTAGTACACATCTGAGGTCATATTTGAACTCAGGTCTTTCTGACTCCAAACCCAGTGCTCTTGCCTCCTACTTAATATTTTGGCCTCCTGCCCCATCTAACTACTCCATAGAAAACTGTTTCTGTCCTGAGCAGGTGTATATTTAGCCTCCTGGGAAATCATACGCATGTAGTTGACTGGTTTAGGAAAGGCAAATTAACAATTAAAATTAGCCTGGCATGGGGGTAGAGGTAGGGGTGGGGGGAGGAGGGAAGGAACCACGTCATGGAAAACATTCCCTTCTAAGCCCTTGCATGTATGAGAAGGTGAAGGCATTGGAATGGTCTTCTTGACACTTTTGTACAAAGGGACAAACTGAGGAACAGATCTGAGAAAGCACACTGTTTGAAATCATATAGCAAAGAAGCAGCATAGAACAGTGCATAGAGAGCTAGCCTCAGAGTCAGGAAGAAGGTAGATTTAAGTTCTACTTCAGACCCTATCTCTGCCACCCCCAGGCAACTCTCTAAAACTATAAATCACTGAGAAGGTGCTAATTTGCATTGATGGGGGGAGTTCCTCATTGAGAGATCCCTATATTAATGATATCACAGGTCTGCCCCCCTACCCCACCCCTAGGAAAAAAGTCACAAAGCAGACACATAACTAGAATTTGTGTTTTATCCTAACTTCCTATTGGGAAGGCTGACATACCTAAGCATTTTCCTCTCTGTATAAAAACATGCAAACCAAGTTTTCTCTGCCATGATGTCAAATCATGTTCCTTACAACAAATCTCATCTTACCTTAGACCTCTTTCATTGCTTTTCATTACACTGAAACTTGTCTGCCCTCCCAGGTGGTAGGTTTTGATGGTTCCTCCACTGTGGATGAGTTCCTCCATCAGCTGAACCAGGAAACAGGAATGAGAAAGACATCTCACTCTGGCTTTTCACTCTTCACCGACGATCCTTCTGACAAGGACTTGGAGCACTACCTACAAGGAAGTGTTAAGGTGACGATTTCATGCCTCTGCATTTAAGTCCTGGCTGGACTCCCTCCAAAAGTGTGGGGAGATATAGTCACCTCATTAGGAATATTGATTGTACAAAGAGAATTATTTCATGGGCTGTGAAATCAAATCAAGTCAACCAGCATTTATTAGCATTTTCTATATTCTAGCCACTGCACTAAGCACTGAGAATTACAAATACAAGTATCCTTGCTGTCACGGAGCTTACATTCTAATAGGGGAAGACAACACATAAAAAGAACTTAAAAGGGAAGGGTGGAGGAATAAACATATTGAGGGAAGGAAAAGTCCAGAAGAGAACAGCTTAAAGAAGAATGAAGACACGGTTAGTCTGGTTTTGTTGTTGCTCAGTTGTGTCTGTATCTTTCTGACCCCATTTGGAGTTTTCTTGGGAAAGATACTGAAGTGGTTTGCCATTTCCTTTTCCAGCTCATTTTACACCTGAGGAAACTGGGGCAAACAGGGTTAAGTGACTTTCCCAGGTCACACAACTAGTAAGTGTCTGAGGCTGAATTTGAACTCAGGAAGATGAGTCTTCCTGACTCCAGGACCAGCTCTCTATCCACTTTGCCACCTAGCTGCCTGCATTTATAATAGTACTTTACAATTTACAGAACACCCTACAGAGGAGTGTGATATTTGATCCTCATAGTTGCCCTGTGTAATGCCCGACACAAATACTGTCATCTCCATTTTACAGATAAGTAAACTAAGGTTTGGGAAGTTCTTACTTGCCCAGGGTCTTGGTGCCAGTGTTAGAGCTAGGTCTCAAATCCATGTCCGATTCCGTGTCCAGTCCTCTCCTCTTTCCACACCACCCCATTGCCTCATTGTGAATGCAGCACACTGGATCCCTAAAATCATCTTATTAAACACTGAAGTTCTTTTTGAGACTGAACGTCTATGGAAGGGATCCAAGAAGCACCTGCTTTGGATGATATGACAATAGTATGATGAGACAATTCTCAAGAATTTGTTTCTGTGATTAGTCACTTAAGGTATAGGATGTACTGTGTATTGGTTTTCCATCTTCTTTAAGACAAGGAATTTTTTTTTGTCCCCCACCATGAAAACTATGAAAATGATGTCCCTGCTTCTTTGTAACCTCTTCCTATCCACACAGTCAGTATAGTCCTAGGAATGCAATCAACTCAACAATCCTTTGTTAAGCATCTACTGTGTGCCACGCACTGTGCAAAGACAAAAAAAATGAAAGAAATGAAAAAGTTCCTGCTCTCAATAAGCTTACGTTCTATCAGAGAAGACATGTCTGTACATAAGCATATACATTATACACACAAGGAAATTCAATTCAAGGTAATTAGGGAAAACAATCACTAGCAGTTAGGAGAATCAAGCAAGACTTTGTACAGAACTGGTGCTGGGGCCAAGTCCTGAAGAAAATGAAGCATTCTATGAGACAAAAGATGGGGTCCATTCCAGATGCAGAAACGTCCAGGGCAAAGGTGGAGATGGATTGTTGTGTATGAAGGACAAAGAAAAGGCCCATTCATTTGGACAGTGATGTATAGAAAAGGAAGTAATACGTAAGAAAGCTGGAATGAGATAAGGGCTAAGTTATGAAGGATTTTTAAAGCCAAACAAAGAAGTTTATATGTCATCCTAGAGACACCTAGAGGTGTCAGAGTTTGGTGAGTAGGAGAGTGACGTGATCAGATATGTGCTTCAGGAAAATCACTTGGGCAACAGAGTGGAATGATGAAAAACTTAAGGCAAGGAAGCCAAATAGAACATTGCAATAGTCCAAACAAGAAGTGACGGGGGCCTAAAATAAGGTAGTAAATGTATTAAAAGGGTTGACTGTGAAAGGCATTAAGGCAGAAACCTCAAGATTTAGCAAGTAATTGGATCCATGTGGTAAGGGAGAGTGAAGAATCAAGGCTAATGCTGAGGTTGGAAACCAAGGAGATTTGTAGAATTGGTGGTGCCCTTGACAGAAATAAGGAAATTTGATAGAGGCAGGAGGCAACTAATAAGTATTTATTGATGAGGAGGATGGTAATCAAGTATGACTTTGGAATCTGCAGTGTGTCTGAGGAACTCAATGTTGTAGTTCTAGGGCAGGTATTATGAGGACATATTTTCTGGCTAAAACCTGCACCATCAGATGTTCCTATCATTTCTGCTTTCCATATCAATTGTGAAAACATCCATGGCCATCTTCTAGGCAGTTCCAGGCAGATAAAACCCAGTCAAACCCTTCAGCACTTAGTCGAGATTTAGTATGCAATATTTACTTTACAGGTCTCCCATTCTTCTGTGCTCTAGTGCCTGGCTCAGCACAATGCTAGGCACATATAGGTTCCGAAGGAAGCCTTTGGTCATGAGAAGAATGGTACTTAATTGAAGGGAAATGATCAGTTAAAATGGGTGTCTTCAGGGGTCTTTCTGAGTTTTCCTTCATAAAAGCATCTCTCTCTATTATTCTTCCTAAAGATCTGTGATGCCATTTCCAAGTGGGAACAATCTCTGAGAGAGCTTCATCCTAGGAAGTCTGAGGGCAGCAACCGGATCGTGAAACTGATTTACAAGAACAGGTCCTAAACACTGAGGATGGGATGGGACACAAATACGGCACAAGGGACTGAACCTTATGGCCTTCCATTACCACCATGTGCTTATTCCCTCTCCTAATGGATCAAAATGTCCTCTATTCTACAAGGGTCCAAAGGTCTAAGCGCTCCTTGAGGGGTCATTCTAACCTTCACCTTTGTCCCTGGGTTACTTATATGACACTGGGTAATTAACCTTCCCTCTTTAGTCTTGTTTCTTTCTTCCTCCTTCAGGAAAACAGCAAAAACCAATCTCACGGAAAGACTTTGTATATTATCTTGCAAAAGGGAAGCTTTCCATTGGCACTAAGAGTTTAAGACTGTGAATTGGATAAGTAGCTCCACCACTCCATTCAAGTGACAGATATAGGCATTCTTAGAAGTAGGTAACTAAACTGTATGGTCTGGCCAGACAAACAATTCCTTTCCAGGGCTCATCTCCCAATAAAATAATAAATTCCCATTGACCTAATATCTCCACAGTACTTAACTCACCTAACTCACCCATAATATATCACCCATAGTAGTATCATGGTACCTAGTTATCCCAGTAGTCTAGTGGGAAAGCCCAGCCTATTCAGAGTTAAATCCAAGAAGTTTTGAGGACCACAAAGGACCTTCTTTCCATGTGTTACTGTTGGTATGAACTTATGTCATGTACCCTTCTTCCTTGTCACACTTCATGACAATTTTCCTGTGGGAAGGGTCATAAAGATGGGGAAAATAAAAGCCTTCCTCTTTTAAAATCAAGACTAAAAACAACCCTAAGAAAATTCAGTGTCCATCTTGATCTCTCTTTGTATTGTCGTTAAGTCAGGTCTTTCGTGTGCTCCCTTCTTCTTGCAGGCTCTATTTCTGGCATCAGGTCAAAGGAGAAACTGAGCAGGAACGGCTTCTGCTTGCCTTCCAGGTCAGCAATGAGATCACTGCAGGGAGATTCCCAGTCAACAAGGAACTAGCTCTTGAAATGGCTGCACTGATGGCCCAGGTAAGTGATCAGCTTATCAGCTGAGTGAAACACCTCTGATACTAATGGCCAGAAGAGATTAGATGACATCTTAATATTGCTGCTATGAGGACGCAGCCCATAACACATAAAATGCAACAGGGCTTACAAGACCTAAGAAAAGGAGGTGACAAAAAACATTAGGGAATTGAGAGAAACAGTTCCAGGAGGTCTGTGCAGAGAATACAAAAACCCTTTGCAGGGCTTTTTGTATGCTAAATGTCCCAAAGGATGGGAAATAATCAGACTACTTCACACATTTTATCTGCTAGAAGTGTAAAGGAAAAAGGAATATACCTTTAACCCAGTCTATGGCACTTTTTCACCACCTTGATAACAGAAAGCTGACCTGCTAGGAGGCAATTGTCTCTGTAAGAAGTAGGGGCCCAGGGAATGGGAGAGAGCTAGATTTACAAAAACCGAAGAAGTGGTTGGAATAAATGATCAATCTGTAAGGTACCATCTAACACTTAACATTCTTGTCTGAATGAAAATTTAAAAAAAAAAATTTATTAAGTCATTATTATGGGAAGAAGACCTGAGTTTGGAACCTAGCTCTCCCCCTTACTAACTCTGATCGTGGGCATAGGACTTAACCTCTCTGAGCCTCAGTGTTTTCATTTTTAAAATGAGGACAATAACATTTGCACTACCTATAAGATTAAATATGATGATGAAACATACTTTGTAATAGTAAAGTGTAATGTAAATGCAAGCAAGTATAATTTTTATTAGGACTTTGTTTTTATAGCTTGAAGTAAAGGGTTGATACATCCTAACAATACACTCCTGCAGTCTAATGTCACATCTCCATTCTCAAAATTAGACCCATAAATTCCACTTCTTAACGCACCCTTTATGAACACTCTTATAGTCCTAACTGAGGCCTAATGTTTGTATACTTTCTACACAGGTGGAATATGGGGATCTGGAGAAGCCTAAACTTCCTGGTCCTGTGGGAATAGCTCCTGCCAAGGCTCAGCATCTCCTCCAATTGGTCCTAGATAGGTTCTACCCTAGAAGATATAGATATGGTGCCCCTTCTGAACAGCTGAGGTAGGAGGGGCAGTAGCTCAGCATGATACAGGAGGTGGTATAGGGAGGAGAGGGTCTGATATAAGTAAGGGTTGCCACATAAATTTTGCATCTGGGTCCTTCACTGATGAGGTTTTCTTCCCCCTCCCTTCTCATAGACACTTGGCAGACACACTGGCTTCAAAATGGACAACACTGCAAGGCTGTTCCTCAACTGAGTGCATCCGAATCTACTTGACTGTTGCTCGAAAGTGGTCCCTGTTTGGTGCTAAACTCTTTGCTGCTCAGGTGTGTGTCAGTAGCCCCTAGGAAAAATACACCACCACAATATATGGAGAACCTCCAAGACCCTCCCAGAGCTTCTGAGTCCTCTTCCAGCTGCCTAGGTTTGGCCTGACCCCACACAACATGGTGGGTGATTCCTGGAACTGGTGTCAAAGGGACTTGAATTGGAATTCTGGACTTAATACCTACTCTCTGGGTGCCCCTGGACAAATCACTTCTCCTTCCTAGGTTTCAGTTTCCTCATTTATAAAATGGGTGTGTTGGACTAGATTGAAGATCGCTTAAGATCATGGTGGTATGTAACCCACAGTGGTGCTTCACCACTAGAGGTCACTAGTGCACCAACTCATTTCTAATGTCCACATCTCAGGAGACCCTTTCTCCTATGGCCTCTGTTTCTCTGCCTTCCTTTCCCCTTCCCCAATGCTCTTATCATTCTTGACAAGGTTAAAGCTAAATAGTAAACTCATTCACAATAAAGTGCTAGTGACCTATTACATCCCCAAGGAGTACTTTTAAAGTGAAATATAGAGAGACCATGAACCTCTAATAAGCACTGCACATAAGGGAAATTTTTTGTTTGCTTGCTTTCCTGCAATACCATAAGGAACCACCTATTTCAGTTTCACACAAGAAAGACAAGATTTCATTGTCTGGCATAAGCTTTAACCTATCACCACAGACTCCTTAGCATCCTGCTCCAGTGAGTCAAGCAAGGTCATCCTGAATACTGGAAACCTTCCCCATCCCTCCTCCCTAGGGATGTGATAGGATGCAGAGCCCACAGAATTTCAGGGGTTTTTTCCCCATCTCACTCCCCGCCCCTCCTCCTCCATTTCCATTAACATCCCTAAGAAATTGATTGAAGCCAAATATATGTATCTTCTTGATGGGACACTCTGGGGCTAACAAGAATCCCATAACCACAAGAAGAGAACCTGGTCAAATAACAGCACCGTGGGTGCACCCATATAGGAGTTACCAAGCTCTTCAAAAAGACCCCAGATATTAATCAGGACCCACAGGCTGTTGACCAAATTGCTCCTTATTTCCCTAGACCACCCAACTTTCTACCACAGGGAACACTCTGGTGTGGATTGCTGTGAATGAAGATGGTATCAGTATCCTGGAACACAACACTATGGTATTGAGAAAAGTAGAGTTGCTTCCCAATTCCCTCTCCTCTTAGGTACTACCGTTTCTCTTCACCTCAGGTCTGAGTTTACTCACCACAAACTCTGTACCTCCCTATATAACGCGGTCCCTCATATGTCAAATACAGGTTTTCAAAGTTAATTTCCAAACTGTGGTGAAATGATCCAGTTAGCTGAGATCACCAGTGTCTAGAAAATATCTAGCATGCCACTGATTCCTAGGTTGGTAGTGAGAAGGTTCCCTCAGGAGCTCTCATTCCCGCCTTCTTTCCACAGCAAGTTCAAGCCACTCATCCCTACTCTTTGGTGATGACCTTCGGTGGCTACCAGGATGATTTTATGATTGTGATCAGACCTGTTCCAGATAAAAGTTCTGGTAAAGGCAACACTGAGAAGCTGATCTTCCGGATGGAACTTCCAAAGGTGGGTCTGAGCAGCTGCCAGGACAATTTACCCTGGTCCTTTATAAGCTCCATGAAGAAATGAAGGCTACAATTTCATATTTTCTGGCAGATATTAACAGCCGGCACTTTAGGATTTATAAAATACTAAACACACATCATATCAACAACCCAATGAGGTCATGAAATGTTTTTTACAGAAAAGATTTTACAGAAAAGATGACGTCACACATCAGGGCCCAACCAAGGTCACACACAGTTAAAAAGTGGCAGAGCTGGGACTTAAAAACCCAGATCCTAATAGATTGTGCTATGGTCTCTCTAAGCTCTAAGGCTTAGAAGAGAGACCAAGTTACAATGGGCCAGAAGATATCTCTACCTTCATCTAAATTTTATGGCTTCCATGCAGGCAGTAATTCAAAACATCCTGGTAGACTTGAAACTCTCTAGACTTTACGGTTATTTTCTTTTCTTTCCTTTTCCTAGATTACAGAGTTGACATTCATGATGGCCAGCTACATGAACCACTGCTCCACAGTCTCAACCTCATCTCCTAATATACCTCCTATCCGACACCTCCAAGAAATGGATGGAAAACAGTTCCTTGCTTCTGCCTCACATAGCACCAAAGGGCCAACGCTTCTATGAGCATCTTTCCTCCACCTATCTCTCCTTACTTTGTGCCTGTGGACTTGGTGACATCTTGCCGAGTCCTTGCTTCTACTATGAGCTAACTCCCACCCATCCCTTGTGCCTGTTTCAAATTCTCACCAATTCTGCAGGCAGATGACAACGCCTATACAATCTACTGTCTTCAGTGTGCTGAGTTTCAGGCCCCGACTTTCCTAAATCTAAACCCAAATGACAAAGCCAAGTACTCACCCTCTTCTCACACGAGTGGCCAAACTCTGAATGTAATTCTACCAGATTTCCAAGAGAGGTCATGGTTCCGTGCAGACACCATTGAGAATCCAGGACACTGCCCTTGACAAGAAAAATACCTCCTAAATCTTACATATTTCCTGCATTTAGGGGTTTTAAATTGCAGCTGATTTTCTCACACATTCACTTCAGATCTAATGATACAAACTAATCTCTTCAGAATTTGTGGCAAAGACTTAGAGCCTACCACCAACAGACAACAACAACATCACCATGGTGATGAGGTAGCAGGAGATGGAGAAAGAATGGACTTCTTCCCTGTTTCTGGGAAGGAACACTACCCCATATCTCCCAATACTCAATCCAACCTGAGGCAGGAGTGTAGGAACTACAGAGAAGGACAATGGGTGCACTCAGGCTCCAATAATAGGGAAAAGAAATTCAATTCCTTACATAGGAGTGAGTGGATACTTGAAGTGCTTGTGTGGCAGCTGTAGTATAATATTGCATGATGATGTCCTAACCTTGATAGGGACTGAGGCTGCTGAGCTGTACTCTAGACTGGGCAAACTTCACTGCCCTACATTGTCCAAGGACCCTAACCAAACTATCTCCTCTAGTCTGGGTTTAATCACAGGACCAAATGCTTTAAAAATAAGCATTCATTACTATAGACAGGGGACTGTCCACTGATTTCTTCCTGGTCTTTGAAGATCCAAATAAATACACTATCTGCTTTTTTGCAGCTTGGTTGGATCACTAGAGCTTATGATCCTGACATTATCCCTTAAGACATGTTCTGCCTTCTGTAGGGGAGAACAGTTTAAGGGAAACAGTAGGAATGCAGAATTAGTCAAGCTTCCTGGAAAGCATCTTTCATCTTAAAAAGACTGGAACTCAGAGTTTCCTTCATTTTTGTTTCCTACCACCAAGTTCTCCACTGGAACTGTGGCAGATGATTCTTGTTGGTCTCCATACTCCCTCCAAAGCCAACCAAACAAAAAAACCCATACTATTTTCCCAATGTTTAATAAGACTGCAATTTAATTTCCCAGCTCTGTAACACCCAAGGTAGACAACATTTATGAGGAAGAGAGCAGAGGTAGCTGCATGGAAAGACCAATTCCACCCAAAGGCCAGATCTGAACCCTCACATTGTACCATTATCCCCTTCACGACGCTAAAACTGGATGAAGTTGGACCTAGTTTCCTCGAGAGGTCCTAGCTCTATAAAATCCCCTCTATGCATTCTAAGCTGGAAAGGACAAGATAATAAGCACTTCTAATAGCATATTCAACTGCACTATATAACTTCACTCGTTCCCACCTCTTCCTTCCCTTAGGAAATGAAGATTCACCTGACATACCTTATGATAACCATCCATCCAGGGCTGGTGTGGAAGGCAGAGCACATCTCCAATCTTACTTTAAAATGTCCTGAGCCCCTGTCTACAGGGCAAACAGGAGTAATCTTGTCTGCAACAATAAGTAAAAAATTGGTATCCCCAATAACCAAAGAAGGAATTATTTACACTAGGTTTTGCGGGTTTTTTCCCCACTTTCTCTCCTTCCCTCCCTTGTAGTTTATCAATACTATGTATTGTTGTTTAGTCATTTTTCAATTGTGTCCAACTCTGTGACCCCTTACGGAGTTTTCTTGGCAAAGATACTGGAGTGGTTTGCCATTTCCTTCTCTACAATGTTATATAGAATGAATGAGCATTTATTACTAATCTTACAATATAAAGCAATGGGGACACAAATGGAAAAGCAAGATAGTCCCCATTCTCAAGCTGCTCATATTCTAATGTGGGAAACAACACATCTGGGAGGTTTTTGCTGCAAGTCAAATGGAAAAGCCCCGGGGTACTTAAGGTACAGCAGCTAAGCAGACAGTAATGCATCTTTTAAAATGGCATTTCCACCAATAAAAACTTGTTTCTGATGTCAAACCACTCAACAACACCAAGGACTTTAGCGGGAAAAACCTCCTTTTCCAGGCCAGCATTCAGTAGCTATGGCTGCTGGAAAGGCAGGAGTTGCATCTCTGCAAGGGTTGCTTCCTTGGACAATGGCTGTGGGAGCTATGCTAGAAGAAGGGTCAGTGGTTGGAAGTGGCCAGAATTCCAGGGGAAGGGTGCTACTACTCCTAGGGCTCTTAAGTTTACTTTCCCACTAGAGACGGTTGGCATTTTGTGTTGGTACTGACAGGGATAGCAGACCATCTCCACAATGGTTGCTTCCTTTGATAGAAGGCTATGAAGGCCAAGCTATAGGAGGGTTAATACTTCAAATTGCTTCAAGCTGAAGCAGCTTATTCAATCCAAATGGATATTTCATGCCTTCCTATCCTCAGTCTGTATTATATCTCCAGGCCTATAAGGACTCAAAAGAGAAAAGCTCCCTTAGCATCAATGTCTGATATTTCTGCCTTCTGTATCTAGTATCAGAACAACATGCTTCACCTAGAAACAAGCCATTTCTATCTGGGGTTACCTGCATCCCTTGTGACAGATAACACAAAATCATAGAAGAGTATATCAATCTGACTGGAATACCACAAAGGCAGCTGTCCGTGAGGGAGCTGATTGATTTGATATCTAGACAAGCACCATCATAAAACTAATCCCACACAGATCATAGAAATGAAATTGTTGGGGCAGCTAGGTGGCGCAGTGGATAGAGCACCAGCCCTGAAGTCAGGGGGACCCAAGTTCAAATCTGGCCTCAGACCAAACACTCGACACTTACTAGCTGTGTGACCCTGGGCAGGTAACTTAACCTCAATTGCCTAAAAAAAAAAAGAAATTAAATTGTCAGAACCTACAGTTATTTGTGTCATCTACAATTAAGACAATTCTTTCTTCTCTAGCCGAAACCTAAATGATTCTCCATCTTCCCCCCTCAAATTCTTCACAAGATCTTTAGCTGGCAGTTTTCTTAGTAAGTCTCATAAATCACTAATCCTAAGGTAAGTGGCACATATACCAAGGAAGCTTCCTAAGTATTCCTTGCCAAAATTGCTGTTCAATGACTGCTGACTTCAAGTATTATTTGATGGGTTATTCTATAGAAGGGGGATTAGACATGTTCTACTTGGCAATGTGGAAGGAAGTTGCAGAAGCAGATTTTTAGCTTAATATAAGGAAAGCTTTAACATTTAAAACTACATAAAAACTGCAATGGGCTGTCCCAAGAAGTAGTGTGCTCCTTATCACTGAAAGTCTTTTAAGCAGTGGCTGGATAACAACATGAAGGGAATATTGCCTGGCATATAGTAAATGCTTAATAAATGCTTTACTTGTTTATAAGGGATTTCTTTTGGCCTTCTGAGGTCCCTTCCAACTCTATGATTCTATGAGATGCCTACTCTCTCAAATGCTATATAAGTTATATTTCTTAAGAAGAACCTCGGAGGGGCAGCTAGATGGTGCAGCGGATAGAGTACTGGCCCTGGATTCAGCAAGACCCTCTGGCCTCAAACACTTGACACTTACTAGCTGTGTGACCCCGGGCAGGTCACTTCACCCCATTGCCTTGCTGGGAAAAAAAAAACCTCAGAGGTCCACCTAGAATTTGATTCCTGGGGTCACATTGCTTAGGGAAGAACAAACCGCTAGAGTTCTAAAGAGATGTGGTTTGTACCAACTTATTTGATCTGTCATACTCTCCTGCTTAGGATCACCTAAAATGGATCTCACATCCTTGAGTTGAGTCAAATGTGACAATGGAAGAACCTGAAGACCAGAAACTTTCAGTCTTTTTGAAAACAGGCCACCAGTTCTTGGCTTATCACCCACTCTTCTGAACATGAGCTATGAAGGAGTCCTTCTAGTTTCTGCTAGTAGAATAAAGGATTCTGCTCTCAGAATTCCTCCATAAGGTATTCCTGAACTACTACAAAGAGAAAGCTATACACACAGATTTTCCCAGTTCCATTTTATTAATAATCACTTTCATAACACCACCTTGTTTTGACCTGGCTCCCTCCTCCCAAAGGACTTTACCTCATTATCATCTCACTCATATTTTACTTCTCAGATACAATGAGGTAGAATGCAATTATCCCTATCTCACATTCATCCATTCCTTTCAACAGACAGGTATTAAGGTGCTGAAGGCAGCACAAAAATAAGACACTGTTCCTTCTGTATAGGAAGGAAAACTAACATACAAAGAAATAACCTGCATAACCTCACACAGTGGATTAGTGGTGAAGACAGGATATAATCCAGACATTCTGTCATTTGTTCTAGTCTTCTGCACTCCCTGACTTCCACGTGGGTCATCAAAGCTGGGTCTCACTGAGGTTCTGGCACTTGTCATTTTGGACTATGCCTGTGATTCTGCTGGTAAAGAGAATTCCTCCTCCCAAGGCAGGTAACCCACCCTGCCTGAGGCCCTCAGAGGTCCGGCACTTCCCTGGGCTCCCAGGGCCAGTATGTGCAAGAAGGAGAACTAAGACACAAGTCTCCTTGACTACAAGGCCAGCACTTTTTCCAGGACGCCATGGTACCAAGCTGTTCAGAACTGGCCAAAACAAACGAATGGCTGTGGCTCCAGGATCTGGGATTATCTTGACAGGAAGCACCATGGGAATCTGCTGAATAGGACTCACAGGCTTGTTGATGTGACTGCCTGGTGTGCTAAGATCTCTTGGCAGCTCCTGTATACTTCAATCAAGCAGTCCAGTCGGGGCTTGGCACTCTAAAGCCCAGTGAGGAGAAACAGAGAGTCAGAACTAATGATTTTTGGAGGTTACTGGTACCTTGAAAGACAAAACAGCTCAGCCCATCAGTTTCACAAAAAGCTCTACATTCTCGTGTAAACACTCTTCATCTATTCATCAATTCAAATATGTATTAAGTACCTACTGTGTGCCAAGTACTGTGGAATTTCAAAGGTATATAAATCACCATCTAGTCCCTCAAAGAGTTTATTCCCTGATCTGAGTTCAGAAAGAAAAGGTATATCTGGGCTCACCTGGAAGACAGGCACTACTTGTGATACCCCCTGTGGTTCTACTGGGTCCTTCAGTAAAATGCACAGGTAGTAGATCACCTTTTGCTGTAAGAAAATAAATAAATGCTCACTAGCTATGTGACTCTGGGCAAGTCATTTAACCCCAATTGCCTTACCCCCCCAAAAAAATTATAAAAAATAATAATAAATAAATAAATGCACAAATATAACACACAGCTTTTTAGTGAGAATCACCTTCAAAGGGCTACATTCCTCATAGATAATATATATGTTTCAAATGACATGACAGAAACAAGTTGAGGGAGAGTGGTAACATTTTCTAGACTGATAATAGAGCAAGGCTGCTCAGAAGTCAGGCTACCAATTATCTGAAGTGCTAATTCCCTATTACTCATCTACAATAAAGGTAATAACAGACTCCCAATTCCAAAATTGTCATAAGAATAGAGCTTTGGAAACCACAAAGTAATATATAAGTATGTTTCTATAATAACAAGAGCTTACATGAGGATGGTAGGCAAGTCATTCCACCTCTGTTGGCTTCATTTGTAAAATAAGAGAGTTGGATCTGATGATTTCCCTAAGGTCCCTTCCAATTACGATATTCTATAAGCAAATAACAACTTGATGCTTCTTTTTGGAGCTGGTCTTCTCAGTAAGCAGAGCCTTCAGTTTAAAAAGGTGCATGAATATTTTCTGGCCATTAAATGAAGGCTGAATCCACCTGGCACAGAAGTGTTTTCAGGTCTATGTGGTCAATAATCCTCTGGATATTAAGGAACACTTGGGGTCTAAGAATAGTCCAAAGGGTACATGCTTCAAGAGATGCCTGAAGAGCACTTACCATGTAAATAGCCTCATTGATGACAACATCCTTCACTTTGCCCATCTCAATGAAGGTTGTACTCTCTTTTCCTGAGGCATAGGATGAGGTCATCTGTATGCCAAGAGAGCCAATGATCAGTAGAGTTTCTTGATCAATCTTCACAAAGTGGAGGTAACCAAGCAAACCTATGAGAGTGATGAAGATAGCAGCAGAGAGGACCATACTGTTCTGAGGAAAGAAGACAAAAGGAGCCAATGAAAAAACTATACCAGATTTTATGTGTCTTCATCATCCTAGCTATGACAAAACAGGCACACCACCACAAGATGGTACCTAGGTCCAGCGATGGGAAAGATAAGTCAAGAATCCCTATCTAGCAATACAAAGGACACAAGGGAAATGAGAAGAATAGGGAGAAAGAAAATAATTTTCAGCTTAAGCACTGAGATACCATGAAGATTGTATGACGTAGCCTTTGCACCATCATCAGTCTCAGAAGGTTCTCCTCCAAAGATTTCAATATTGGAACTTCAGCCTTTTCCCTTTACTTCTCTCTAGTGTCCCACAGTGTTGCTTGAGCACACCTGGCTCATTCATTCAGTTAGAATATTAAACTGCCTTACAGTATCTTAGGATACAGAAAGGAAAATTAGAGATCCACAATCATATTACTTAAACTAATCAACTGTAGTTTTATCATTAATAGGATGACTAGGGTTTTAAGCTATTTCCTTCTAGGACAGTTACTCACAACTGCAGTCCCAATCCTTGGCTTACTCAGTCTTTCAGTTGCTGGCACCCAGATATACTCTTCAGTTTTATATCCAAATAACTCTTTATATAACCACCCATACCCTGAATTTTAATTCATCAAGCATTTATTAAGCCATCAAATTAACAAGCAATTACTTAATACCTACTATGTGTGAGGCACTGTGCTCACAGTCTAATTATGGAGACAACAAACAACTATGTACAAACAAGAGACAGGAAAAATTGTAGATAATTAACAGAAGGAAGGTACTAATATTAAGAAGGATAAGAAAAGGCTTCTTGTAGAAAGTGATGCTTTAACTGAGACTTGAAAGAAGCCAGGGAAATCAGGTGGGAAAGATGGGGAGGAAAATGTCCAGAGTTGGGAGATGAAAATGTCAAACACAAGGAACAGCAAAGAGGCCAGTGTCACTGAATTATAGAATGCTATGGAAGGGGATAAAATGTAAGAAAACTAGAAAGGCATGAGGACTTTACAAGTCAGAGAATGCTATATTTGATCCTGGAAGTAAGAGGAAGTCACTAGAGTTTGAAGAGGGTCTCTACACTTTATCACTTTGACAGCTGAGTAGAGGAAGGATTGGAGTGAGGTGAGACTCATGGCAAGGAAGCAAACTGGCAGGTTACTGCAATAATCCAGGTGTGAGGTAATGAAGGCCTGTACCAGAATGATGGCACTGTCAGAAAAAGGGGCATATATGAGAGATGTTACAAAGAAAGAAATGACAGGACCTGACAATTAATAGGATACAGCAGTTGGGGGTCAGGGGGAATGGGGTGTTAGGAGTTGAGGATGACACCTAGGTTGAGAGCCTGGGTGCCTGGAAGAATGGTGGTGCCATTGACATTAATAGGAAAGTTAGGAAAAGAAGAAGATATGGGAGAAAAAGACAATAAGTTGGTTTGTACAAGCTTAGTTTAAGATGTCCAATGGGAGAGAATGGAGGTCAAAAGAGATAAAAACTAGATAAGTAGATTTGAGAATCATCTACATAGAGATGATAATTGAATCCCTGGGAGGTGATGAAATCACCAAGTGAAACAGTATAGAGGGAGAAGGCCCAGGACAGAGCCTTGGATGACATCCACAGTTGGTGGCTGCCACATGAATGAAGATCCAGCAAAGATAAAGAAGGAGCACTTGGACAGGTGGAAGGAGAACCAGGAGAAAGCAGTGTCACAAAAAGTTTACCAGAACCAAGACAGTATCAACGAGAAGAAGGTGACTGATAGTATCAAAGACTGAAGGTAAAGGAGGACGATGACTGAAAAAAGCTATTGGATTTGTCACTTTAAAAAAATCACTGGTAGAGAGCAGTTTTAGTTGAATGATGAGGTTGGAAGCCAGAATGCAGTTAATGAGGGAATGAGGAAAAAGGAACTGGAAGCACAGATTATAACCAGCCTTCTCAAGAAGTTTAGGTATGAAAGAGAGGAGAGCTATAGGATGATAGCTAGAAGGGACGGATGGCTGAAGTAAAGAAGTGTTTTTTGAGGAAGGAGGGAGACATGGGCAGCAGGGAAGCCATCAGGAGACAGGGAGAGTTGAAGATTAGTGAAAGAATAGGTATGATAAAGGGGGCAATCTGCTGGAGAAGATGAGACGGAATGGGATCAACATGCCTAATTTAGAGTCTAGTGGCCCCGGGTAAGAAGGGCCACCTCATCATGCAGAGACAAAGAAGAGGAGATAAGAGGGAGCTCTAGGTAAATGGTTTCAATTTTTCCAGGGAATTATGAGGCAAGATTCTCAGCTTCTCAGGGGGAAGGACAGCTATGGAAAGTTTGAGGGATGGAAAGGTTTGGTGAATATGATAGTGAATCAATTAGGTAGTGTAAAAGCATTGCCTTGCTGTAGTGAAAGCCTAGGTGAAGTTATGTAACAAATTTATAGTGGACCCAATTAGTATAGGTCTGTGATCTTCTCCAGCTTCATTCAGCAGCACATGAATAGGAGTGAAGGCAGCAGATGATGGGAGTGATCTAAGGCTGGGGTATGTCATAGAAAGGTTAACAGGATAAGGGGGCAAGGGACTCAAGAGAAGAGCACAGTGAAGAACTGAACTGATTTACCAAGGGATCAAGACATGAAAGAGAGATTGGAGCTAGTGAAGGGGTAAAGTGCTAGCCTGGGAAAGAACTGAGTAGGATTGGAGGTCCCAGTGAGAAACAAAGAACATGGAAGAGGTTGCAAGGCAAAGAAAGCTGAAATGACAACAGTTTATGATCAGATATGGGAAATGTCAGAGTTCACAAACATGGAAGTGGCGCATTTATGGGTGAAAGCAACAAGAGCATCTCTGTGTACAGCCAAAATAGGATGGATGAATAGGTCATGGAAAAGGCGTAAACTGAGGAACTGAGAGGTTAGAATGTTGTAGGGAGTATCAATATGTATGCTCAAGTGCCCTAGCATGAGGGCAGTAGTTGGGGAAGAGAGACTCTGAGTCAGGCACTGAACTCCTTGAGAAAAGGAGAATGTCCTGGAAGTTGGTAGATAACAACTACCAAAATACTGATTGGGTGGTAAATATAGAGTAAGTGAACGTCAATGGAGGAGAGATTACTCAACGGCAGAGGAAGAGTCTAGAAGTGGAAATAGAGAACATGGAATACTTCAACTCCCCTACCTCAAACGGTAAAGAAAGTGAAAACAATTCTGTAGAGGATGGTCAGGGAGGCTTTGTCATCAGGAGACAGCCAAGGTCTCAGTGAGTACAAAGAGACAGAAAGAGTGAGAAATGCAAAGGTTTAATACAAAAGTAAGTTTTTAATTATGGAGCGGGCATTCTAGAGGGCACCACAAAGGGGATGGGTAGCTTCAGAGCAGGACACTGGTGGTTGAGAGATACTCTTTGGAGAGGGGTTACATTGAGGGGGACCAGTAGGAGACAGACAACAGAGTTTGAACAACAGCAGCCAAGGGTTCAGAATTATTAGAATAGGGAGGGTATGACAGGGTGGAATTTATTAATCATATGCCAATTTTCACTGTCCTAAGTGCTGGGGTTACAAATACGAATATGAAACCATTGCCCTCAAGCAGCTTATTCTCCTGGGGAAAATAAGTAAGTAGACAGAATATATATACAAAATAAGCACAAAGCAATGGAATAGCCCATTTATGATATGTCCAACCTATCTGGTAGGCCCAAGGGTTAGCAATAACTCATTTCTCTAGCCCTTTAAATTTTTCAAAGCACTTCCCTCACAACCACTGAGATTGAAGTAGTATCAATATTATTATCTTCATTTTACAAATGAGGAAACTGAGACTGGCAGAAGTCAATTAATTTGCCCATGATCACAGTCAGTAACTACCTGTGGCTATATTCAAAGCCAGGTCTTGACTCCAAGTGCAGAACTCTGTCACCAGACCCACTGTCTCTCAATAGACTGTTGGTTATTCTTCTTTATTCTGTCTAACACTCATTAGTAAGTGTCTCTTCTTGTTTTCCATCAGCCTAAAGAAAATCCCCTGCAGCCATTGCTCCCTCCAAGCTCTAGATGTCTCGCTGCTGGTCAGTTGATGTATTCCTTTCCAGATGCACTCTGAATGAATTTAACTCAGTATCAAAGCGTTTCTATGATAATGGCTTTGTAGTATAGTGAGATCTCATACTCATAGGCCCCCTTCTTTTCTATTTTTTTTTCATTAATTCTCTTAATATTCTTACCCTTTTGTTCCTCTAGATGAATTTTTTTTTCCTAGCTCTACAGAGTAATACTTAGGTGGTCTGATTGGTATGAACTGTATCAGAGGATGACTGACCCTTTTCTAAGAACTCCCTTTTTAAAATCCCTACCCTGTCCCCCAGTTCCCATGGTAGGAGCACAAAAGTCTTTCTGGCCTTTTCACTATAAAGACATTTAAATATGTGAAACAATTGTTCACATATATATGACATCCCATTTTTGCCCAAAAGTGATGAAAAGTAGGGTACAATTCAAATCACAAAAAATTGAAGTGAGGGAGTATTTTTTCACAGCTACAGAGGAAGTTAGTAAATGTATAGTAGTAAAGTAATAAAAGGAAAACTAGAGACATGAGCAGGAGATAAAAAAATATCTTATATGTGTCCTGAAGGAGGGTATCTTAACAGGCTGAAGTTAGGTCTAGAGGGTAATAAAATGCCAAAGGCATTTTTGCTACTACTTTTTATAAAGGCACATATTTTAATAATAACTGGTTTTTATATAGAACTTTAAGGTTTATAAAGCACTTTACAAATATTATTTTATCTTCATAACAACCTTGAGAGGTAGGTGCTATTATCTCCATTTTGCAGATGAGGCAACAAAGAGAAGTTAAATGACTTGCTTAGGGTCACACAGCTAGTAAATGACTGAAGCTGGATATGAGCTTAGGTCTTCCTGAGCTTAGGTCCAATCCTCTAACTCTTCATAACATATAAGGTATTTACTTTGTAATATGTCATGTGCAGTAGCACAATGAAGCAGAAAGACAGCTGTGCTTGGAGTGAAGAACGTGGTGGGTTCAAATACTACCTCTAACAATAGCTATGAAACCCAGCACAAATCCCTTAACCTCTCTGTGCCTCAGGCAACTCTTTAGGATTTATCTAATCAAAGACAAGAGTTAGAATCTGCATTGGTAGATATAGTTCCATAACACAGATCCTATATTTGCAAGTTCATAAAAATAAAAGGAAATAAATGATGTACCAAATTAATGGTTCAGATAGTAAGTGCTATATGAGTTGCAAGGAGGATCTTTGTAGGCTGAGATATTCCTAGATTTCCTGGAGACATGAGCTGGTGGTCTTTGAAAGCCAGGAAATAATTAAAGAGAAGATACATGTTGTGACAGGCTCAATAGCATATGAAAAACAGGCAGAACAGCAGTGATAATGTGGGAATGCAAATGGAATATAGGGGGAAGGCGCACCTAAAGGAATGAGTAGTGAGAAAAATCTAACAAATAGAGGGTTCATGTAATGTTAATTTGGAGGATTAAACTAGGATCAGACTGTGAAAGGCCTTAAATTTCAGGCTAAGGAAATTGTAATTTATTCTGCAGGTTAAGTGATACTTTTGAGGTCCCTTCCAATTCTGCAAACAAGGGGATAAATCTAGTAAGATGAAATTTAATTCAGATAAATGTGGAGTCCTGCATTTGGATTTTTTAAAAAATCAACTGCAAGAGGCAGCTAGGTGACTCAGTGGATACAACACCGGCCCTGGAATCAGGAGGACCTGAGTTCAAATCCTGCTTCAGACACATAACACTCACTAGATGAGTGACTCTGGGCAAGTCACTTTACCCCAATTGCCTCACCAAATAAAAAACCACACAAAACACACACACACACACACACACACACACACCAACTGCACAGTTGGGGGAGACCTTACAAACTTAACGTAAGTTTAAAGTGTGCCATGACAGCAAAAAAAAAAAAATTTAATACAATGCTAGGCTGCTTGATAGAAAGACAGAAACCTGTCCAGAATCAGGAAGTAATAGTCCTACTTAGTATGTGACAAGTTTGTTACAATACATCTGGAGAACGGTATTCAATTCTGGAACAACAAAAGAACTGAAGTATGACCAGGGAAAGGTAAGGCCAGTCAGTCAGTCAATAAACATTTATTAAGCCCCTGCTATGTGTCAGGTACTGTGCTAAGCATTAGGGACACAAAGAAAGGTAAAAGACAGTCTGTTCTCAAGGAGCTCACAGAAATGAGTGAGACAACATGCAAATAACTACGTACAAAAAAGAAATATACAGAATAAATTGGAAATAATCAACAGAGGGAGGGCACTATTATTAAAGGGGATGAGAATCGGCTTCCTGTAGAAGGTGGGATTTTAGCTGGGACTGAAGGAAGCCAACAGGTGGGGATGGAGAGGGAAAGAATTCCAGACTGGGGTATCACATCACTATCATAATGAGATAAAGCTGAAGGACCTGGGGATGATTACTTGAAAAAGACTTATAGGCACAGTGGCTGGAGCGCCAGTCCTGGAGTCAGGAGGATCTGAGTTCAAATCCAGACTCAGATACATAACACTTACTAGCTGTGTGACTCTGGGCAAGTCACTTAACCCCAACTGCCTCATTTAAAAAAAAAAAAAGGACTTATAGGGAACAAGATAGTTGTCTTCAAAAAGGGCTGTCATGGAGGAAATACTCAACTTTTTCTACACAGCTTCAGAACTAGGACCAATGGATCAGTTATATGAAGGAAGATTCAACTCAATACTCTAATGTTTCAGGTTCCAAATTCAACTCAATATACAAATTTTCTAACAAAGAGATCTAAAATTAAAAGGGCTACGTTGTGAAGGTGTAAATTTCCTGTCACAGGCCACATTTAAGCAAAGTTTAGAATGCCAACTATTAGAGATATTGTAAAGGAGACTCCTGTATGGACAAGAGGTTGGCCTGGATGACCTCAATCAAAAGTTTGAATCATTTTACGACCAAATAGCTATCAGCTCAAGGCCTCATTTCTAAAATACATAGAGAACAGAGTCAAATTATAAGAATACAAGTCATTCCCCAATTGATAAATGGTCAGGGGATATGAACAGTTTTTAGATGAAGAAATCAAAGCTATCTAAAGTCATATGAAAAAATGTTCTAAATCACTATTGATTAGAGAAATGCAAATCAAAACAACTTTCAGGTACTACATCACACCTATCAGATTGGCTAACATGACAAAACAAGAAAATGATAAAAGTTAGAGAAGATGTGGGAAAATTGGAACACTAACACATTGTTGGTAGAGTTGTGAACTGATCCAGATATTCTGGAGTGCAATTTAGAACTATGCCCAAAGGGCTATAAAACTGTGTATACCCTTTGACCCAGCAATACCACTTCTCAGTATTTGGCATCCAAGCCAACCCAAAGCTTTGATAGGATCAGAAATACTGAGATCAGTAACAAAGGATGTCCTAGAAGAAGCATATTCCGATATACTTCTGACATATGACAGTTTCTACTCCTCAAATAGGAACACTGGCTGGTCAGAATATGCAAGATAAAATACCAGGAAAATGGAGGTCTGTCAAAGACATAATTATCACCTTCGACTTAAACATGCAGTGAATTGAATTCGTCTTCATCCAGAATGTTGCACTGTTTTTATATGCAGTTAGTCAAAACAGGGTACAATGAGGCCCAAACTACATGATAATTATGCCCTGGGCAGTACAAGCTGAAGCAGGTGTGATTCTTTTTATAATTAGTAGCTGGTTAAGGAAGGAAACATCAACTAGCTCTGTAACATGGTCAATTAAAGAGGTAAGAAAACAATTTTAAATAAAGGCAATGACAATCTTTCTTAAGGAGATGTTAAATAGACAGACCTGTGATTTAGGACTACACTTGGGCAGTTCACAGGATAATAAATTTAAAGTTCCAAATGACCCTCAGAGGTCAGATCCATCATTTTACTGATGGGTGACACACCTCTTATTTCAAGCTCAGAGTCGAGTTCTTCCCAATTGACAAACCCAACTCCAGAGTTCTATCCACTGCAAGGGGCCTTTCTCGCCCCCCCCATCCAACACCCCCCCCACCTTCCCTCTGAGATGAACTCCCATTTGTGCTATATATATTTATCTCGTATGCACTTTTTTTTTTTACATATCTTCTCCCCCGCTAGAATGCAAGTTGCTTGAAGGTAGGAATTGTTTTTGTCATTCTTTGTATTCCCAGCGCTTAGCACTGAGTATGGTACATACATTGGGCACTTGAGAGACTATGCCACCGTTTTAGTTCCACAAAAGGAATACTTTTCTATCAAATAACTGTCTAACAACAGTGTGTGCTAAGGTACTAAGCAGGTAGCCAGACGACCACACATGAGGGATACAGACTAGATAATAACTAATATTGAAATAGGACTATGTGCCAGGCACTACAATAAGCGCTTCACAACTATTATGTCATCTGATCCGCACAACAACACTGGGAGGTAGGTGCTATTATTACTATCCCCATTTTACAGATGAGGAAACTGAGGGAAATGGAGGTTAAAGTGCCTTGCTCAGGGTTAGTCCCCTGCTAGTCAACATCCGAGGCCCGGAGGGCGGAAGTGGGAATCCAGCTGGGGTAGAAGGGGAGGGCCGCCAACATCTGGAGCCCTGGACAGCTGGGAGGACAGAGCCCGTACCTGGCAGAGAGTGAAGAGCCCGTAGGCCACCAGCCACACCGTACAGGTGGCGGCGGTGAGCGAGCGCAGCGACAGCCTCGGGCAGCTGAGGCAGAACTCCCGGCAGGAGGGGGAGTAGTAGCGGCGCTGGAGAGCCAGGCGGCCGCCGTCGATGTCCGAGAAGCTGCGTCGCTCCTCCATGCCCCCGACCCAGCCCTCCACAGCCTCGCGGCAAGGCCACGCCCGCCGGCCGTTACGCACTTCCGGAGAGGGGCCGGGTTCGGCCCCGCCTCCGCCCTGGTCTCGCGATTCTTGGCAGAATCTTGCGCCGAAAAGGTGGCAGCCGGTTTTTGCTGGTGTGACGCGTCACCCGCTTAGAAAAACGGTTCCCAGAGGGTTCCATTTCCGTTTCCTTGGGTTACCTAGTGGCCCAGCGAAGGCGGTGACCTCTCGGGCGCCTCGGTTTTTGAGCCTCTTAGGCTCAACCTGCGGAAACCACCAGACTTCAAAACTACAAAACCGCCTACCGGCCCGGGAGGGTTCGAGCTTTGCGAAACCTCCCCTCCCCCCCAGCCTGAGGTAGAGAGGCCGGAAGGATGAGGCGGACCGGCGGAGCCTCCCTGAAGGGCCAAAGGAAGCCCGGAAACCGGAAGGAGCGTGGCATGTGAATGCTGCTGTCTGCTCTGTAGACTTCCAGTCCTTAACTTTAGGGCATGCAACATTTCGGCAGTAGGTGAACTGATCCCCAGGTGTACAAGTGGTGAGTGGAGCCACAGTGTACAGATTGGCAAAGCCATCACGGGTGAGAAGAAATCGTGAAGTATGTTGACCCTGGCATGCCAACTATAGCAAATGCTGGACCCAACAAAATGGCACCCAGCATTTTTTATCCAAAACCACAACTGAACAAAAGTCAACATAAAGACTATAACTGTTGAACAAATAAGCTGGACTGAGGTCCTCTCTGGTAGAGCTAACAGTTTACAGACGAGCATCAAGGATCCAGTTAGATAACTGAGGCAGTATTTCACAATATGTTAAATATTGGATTCTAGTCCTGGTTCTGCCACTTAAGGTCACTTATGTGACCTTGAGTAAGTTACTTTTTTTAGGACCTCAGATCTCTCATCTATTAAAATGAGAGTGTTGGTACAAATTATGTTTCCCATCCTTTCTAGCTCTAACATTGTACGCATATGTTTGGTTTCTAATTGATATTCCTCCAGAATCTTAATTCCTGGTCGTTGTGTTTTTTATAAGAGTCATCTCTTTTGAGATGTCATGTTTATTTCTGTACCCTGAATAAAACAAAAAAAAAAAACACCCCTTGAGAAAACTGCTAACCACTTTTTTAGCCCATAATTGTGAATTTAAAATAGTCGTATAAGTGAAAGTACTTTTTTTTTTTTTGCTTTATGGTGAGGGGATCGGAGTTAAGTGACTTGCCCAGGGTCACACAGCTAGTAAGTGTTAAGTGTCTGAGGCTGGATTTGAACTCAGGTCCTCCTGACTCCAAGACCAGAGCTCTATTCACTGCACCAACTAGCTACCCCAAAAGTATTTTTTCAAAAGAGTGAATATTTACTTCTCAAGTATAAATGATGCCAAAAAAAAATCTTTAAAACCTCTTCTGCTCAGTTAAATTTCAGCATCTCAAGTTCTCTTACAGAATCTGGCTCTTCATTAAAATTCATCTACTTGCCACTTCCTTGGGCCCCAACAACAGTGTAAGAGGTAACAAGATCTAAGCAGAATAATCTGAGATCTCTTAAAAACTCATACTACACATCAAAGTTTCCTGCAGGGTACAAGAGGGCAACTTACATACAGCAGCAAGAGATTGGCATTTTGTCAGAAGATCTTTGTAGTAAACAGATTTCTTCAAGTCCAAAAGTCTACATAAATAATAATCGAAGGATACGCCCAACTCCTTACTCAGCTGGGTTTAACAGTAATCAACAACAAACATTTATTGGGGTCTACTGTGTACAATGCCCTAGGATAGGTGTTAAGGGTTAAAGATAAAGTAGAGAAGTAACATGAAAAACACCCAATTGCCTCTTGAGCTTTCTCCTCTCTTCAGGCCTGGAAGCAGTATGTCAACCAGGGTAATAGTGTTTCTTCTGCTGGACGAGGCCTGATCAGGTCCTGTTCGTGGGGTGCCCCCATTTCATACCTCTAGCCACCAAGTCATTAGCTAGACTAGAATCTCATGATGACAGGGATTTTCCTCTGGAAACAACGTTGGCTCCCAAAGGTCCTTTACCTAATACTGCTAGTAATCATCAAAGAAACCTGCAAACCAGTCTCCTTGTGCCAGAAGGTCCCTTCACAGCCCTCTTCTGGTAAGAGAAAAATGGCTCAGGTACACCAGAGAACTAGATCATTTATGATAAGGCATGACAATTCAAGAGGTAGCAAATATTTTCATGACTCATCTTTAAGAAAATCCCTACTTCTCCATGGGAGAGAAACATGACTCAGGTGTACCACAGAAGAAGACTAGTAGTGACCAGGCCAAGCCCTGTTTGAAAATCCTTTCCCTCCACCAGTACCCAGAAGTACACCAGCCTCATTGTCCCTGAAGGGAGCCTTTGAAAGCCCCTTTTATAGCCATACCCTGATGAAATGAACATGTGAACATCTGCTTTGAGTATGTCAGAAAACTAGACCATTTATGGCAAAGCTGAATTCCAATGTTGCTGCTGGAGCCAGCAGGTATTTTTATGACCAAATATGTTTGAAAATCCTCACTTTTTGACATTTCTAGTTAAGACAGGATTGTAAAGGGTTGTAGATAAACACATAAAGCCTTAGAAATATCTGAAAAAGATCCCAGAAATTCCAATGATAAAACGAGAAACAGAATGTCACAAAAAGATAGCCAGGAACCAGTAAAGGTCAATAGAGGTAGTCAGGAAAGAAAGTGGGCTCAGGTAAACATAGAAGCCCTCAGAAATGGTAAAAGGAGATCTACCAGGAAAGCGTGCACAAGCAACGAAAAAGGGACTTGAAGCCAGCCAGAATTCTGAATAGAGACTTTTATAAGCCAGCTCAAGAGCTCCAGCAATTGTAAACCTAAAGCCAGATGCTTACCCTGGCAGGGTAGAATAGCAGCAGACAGACAGAACTCCAGAGGTTACTGCACAGGGAGACCGGTCCTAGTTGTATAGTACGTAGAGCATTGGAGGCCACAGCAGAAAATGAGGCCAATTCAGTGCCTGGATACTAATGCTAAAGTCTATGCATGAAGCCTGATGCCAGTGTGATCTCGAATCTGTCAGGGCCATGACAGGAGTAAACCAACACTGATTGGGGATCGTGAAAGGACAAAGCAGAACTTGACCAAGACCAGAATCTGCAATGGACCAAGTCAGGAATTGAGGCAAAAGATGGTGCTTTATACCAGACACACCATCTACAGCAATGGCAGCATTCTAATTATAGAGGGAATGGTACCAAACAAGGTGTACCTAACTTATCTAAGAGTGTCAGAAGGGATTGACCCAAGCACAAAAATCCCAGTCCAAGAATTGAGGATAAAAAACAAAAACAATATAAGAAATATCATGGGTTAAGAGAAACCCAAGAGGTAAACCCAAAAGAGAGTAACCCAACAATAACTACAAGCAGAGCCTCAGAAAAAACAACTCTGAGGCTCCACCTCACATTCATTAGATTGGCAAAGATGACAAAGAAAATAACAATTTACACTTTGAACCAATGATATCATTACTAATGTTAAAAACCCCAAGTAGATCAAAGAAGATAAACCATATGTACAAAAATATGTTGTTGCTTGTTGTTGTAAGATACTGGCCTAGTTTGACATTTCCTTCTCCAGCTCGTTTTACAGATGAGGAACTAAGACAAACTGAGTTAAGTGACTTGCCCAGGGTTACACAGCTAGTAAGTGTCTAAGGCCAGATTTAAACTTAGGAAGATGAGTCTTCCATACTTCAGGCCAGGCACTCTATCCACTGTGCCACCTAGCGGCCCTTAAAAAAAATTTATTATTGCAAATAACTGGGGTGTGGGGAGAGGGTGGAGTGAGTTCCCATCAGTTGGGGAATGGCTAAGCAAATTATGCTGTATGAAACATAATGTTGCTACTTAAGAAATGACAAAAGAGACTAATTTTCTTTAAAAAAAGGGGGGGGGGTATAAACATGCAGAGCGAATTGAACAGAACCAGATGAACAATTTTTATAATTATAACAGAAAAAAATTTTGAAAGACTTAAGATTGATCAACATTTAAGAACTGTGATCAATTAGGACTCTATTAGACTAATGATAAAGTATACTGCCCACCTCTTAGGAAAGAAGTGATGAACTTTCCAGTTCATTTTTAGGCTGAATGAGACATTTTCAGGCATGGCTAAAGTGTGGATTTGTTTTATATCACTATACTTGTTATAAAGGAGCACTTTGGGTATGGGCAGGAATGGAACAATGTGGAGATAGTAATAGTGATAATTAAAATGAAAAAAGAAAAGATCAGTGAATCATTAAAAAAAAATAAGAGCAGAAACATGTTCAGAAGAGGGCGCAGACAAGTAGGGCAGTGTTGGAACTATGTAGAAGCCATATTTTTAAGTATGAAATATAATCATGTTTTTATGTGCAGTTTTCTTTTTCTATTCTATATAGAGGCAAATGCTCATGTTTTTTAATGTTTGTAATATTCATAATAATAAAAGGAGTTTTTTAAAAAAGAAAATCTCTACTTTTTCCTCCATTCATCTTCAGAGGAAAATTATCCCTGGCATCAAGAAAGTACTGCTATAAAGGGGATTGTTTTTTAAGTACTGGTTGGATTAGACATCTACCAAGTTCCTTTCTGGCTCTGAAATTCTGATTCTGTCATAAGCAAAACTGCCTAATAGCGGAAAAACTCATTTATAAAAGGAGATATGACACCATTGTTTAAAAAAACAGTACAATAGCTAGAATATGGTGTTTCCTTGCAATTATCAGGTGGCAACTGTTTGAATTACTTGGAAATGGGACAATGGTTTCTTCTTTGCATTTTCCCCAATTTGCTCTTAATACTCACATTTCTGGAAATATGAACATTAAAGAAAAACAAGCTGGAGAAACAAACTCCAAGAATTCAATTAGGTCTTAACTTAAGTCTAGGAGTCTGCCTTCAAAAACATGAACTGCCCATAAAAAATGTAAAAGGGGTTAAATGGCAACTCTTTAGAAGAAG